CAGAATATAGACACAGGATGGAGAAGGATGGAGAAGGAGATGATGCTGGTGTAAGGACAAGAACAGAATATAGACACAGGATGGAGAAGGATGGAAAAGGAGATGATGCTAGTGTAAGGACAAGAACAGAACATAGATATAGGAAGGATACAGGATGGAGAAGGAGATCATACCAGTGTAAGGGTGAAGAAGGAGATCATAGATATAGGAAGGATACAGGATGGAGAAGGAGATCATACCAGTGTAAGGGTGAAGAAGGAGATCATATAGAGATCGGTGTATTTTTCGAATTTGGTAGTAGTCAGTTACGGTCAACATATAAAAAAAACACCTGGCGATTATTCTGCTGGCGGATTGTGGGTCGGTAATCTGGCTGCTGGACCTTGCTCCTGGCCTGAGGGATGCTCGCACACGTTTACGGTCAACATATGAGACTTATTCGAATTATCAACAGGCTCGCATTCCCGGCACAAGTCACAGGACTGTGGAGGAAGGCGAGTATGCAAAATAGTAACGGTCAACATATGCCTGGGCAAGTACAGTTGATCAGTCTCCGAGCCTCAGATTGTGAACTTCGCCATCATTCGAATGGTGGTCTGCCAGAAGCAGTGTTGTGCGTGATCACGCGCTAACTACGTCGGATGTTTTTGCAATCCCCGCGACCAGGTTTTGGCTTCTTCTGACGCATACTTCCACCCATAACCCAGACACTCACGCATGGATGAGAAATCTCTAATTGCGCTGATTGCGACACCTACACGCGCCTACCGCTCTCCACGAGCCTCCTCACATATGCACGAAGACCAGCCTGCTGCCCCTCTCACACCTAGCACTCATGTCCGCACTTTCTCCCAACAAAGCCAGTGAGCGGCTGGCTCATCGTATCACATAAACCGACGTGGTGAGTCACCGTAACAGGTTGTCGCAACTTCCTATTTCGGAGTGACAGGACTGACTGTTATCTGTCTAAGTTTGTGTCCAACAAGTTAGCAGACTCATTTGCCGGTGACTGTCTTGATCTTCCCGTTCCATTCCTTCTTCTCAGCGTGGCTTTATTAGCATTCACTATTCACCGCTCGCTCTTCAACCATTCTCCAATCCTCAATCGCTTTTCCTCGACCGCCGCTCGAACTCGCTCTGTCTCCTTCTCCGGCCGCCGCTCGAACTCGCTCTGTCTCCTTCTCCGGCCGCCGTACGATCTCGCGTTCTCCTTCTCTGGCCGCCGTACGATCTCACACCCTCATTCCCCGAATATGCCAGAGAAAGCAAGAGTTGGGGGACATACTGGCAAGGCGGATAGCAGATACGGATGACATGCAAAACCTCGAGTCGGATTGTGAGTAAGCCGACGATCGGGATGCTCGATGTTTGGATTTGTGAATCTTCTTGCTTACAGCGGGTGTCTCTGGACATGACTGCGTTCTTGAGATCCCTAGGCGCTTCCCATCACGGAGGGGCTTCGGGATCTTACGAGTCCGCTGGACAAGCACGGAGAAATTTTCGGACAAGCATGAAGAAAGTTTCAAGCACCACTCTCCCGCTACTAGTCGTAGGACCCAAAGGAGTTCGAGAACGCTACATGCTGCGATCACTAGACCGGACAGAGAACACATCTGTAAGCAGGTCATCGTTGGCTGCTTTGTAGATAGTTTGAAAGGCTACCGAGGTAAGCGAATAGGTGAACATTGAAGAGTCGGCAGTGTAGAATGCATTTACGCATAGGAAGACTGATCAGCCCAAGATACTTCTTCTGATACAGCAAGTATCAGCCGATGAAATTGGCAAGCATCAAACTATGCAGATCTAGAGGAATGTACAAGACAGCTGATTCCAAGAACCGTCAGATTACTCTCAAACGTAGATGTCTCAAAGTCCTTCCTTACCATATGTGATTTTCAGAAATCTATTTGTCTTCTAGAGATAGGAAGAATACCAAACAAATGGCTCAGGGATCTATCAGAAACATCGATCCTGAATAGCAAGAGATCGACCCTGATTACGAACGATGAAGACTCGATGCCATCAAAATATATTGCAACTTCTTTTCTATATCAATATGTCGATATGTTGACCGTAAAGTATCTTGCAGGCAGTGTTTTTCATAACGCTCCCCGTACCTAGACCTGGCTGCAGCTGCTCTGCCCTCCATCGACAGTGCAGCGGGACTGACAGATATATGAGCAGCGGTCATATGTTGACCGTAGTGCATAAGCATCAAATATACTCAGGAAGATAGCGTTACTGGATGTCTGAGCCAAAATCACGCCTTTCCATGTATGATCACAAATATCTTCATCTATACTATTATGGCTTACTCTCTACATTCTTGTTGAGCAGCTTGCTGCGATTCTATTCCACCACCTGCCTCAGATTTCGGTTTTACATAAAAAAAAGGCCACAAAGTTATGAATTCCAGATCGATCTTACCACTCCGGCGCCCTCCATGCTCCTGCCACGTCGAGATACCCCATCAGCACCCTCTGAGACCAAGTCAATAAGGAAGATCAGAGATGAGATTGCAGGTGGTGGTGTCAAGGGAGGAAGGGGACTCACTAAGGATGAAGAGCAGTTGCTAGCGCGGATCGCAGTTGAGCGCTTCGCTGAGTTCAAAGTGCCAGGCAAACAAGGCGAATTTTGGAACAATGTTGCTGCTGCTCTGAAGGAGGAACGGAGGGTGTCCTACACCCCTAGCAGTTGTACGCGTAGGATGGGAGCAATTGAGAAGGAGCGCCGCTTGGAGGTAAAGAAGGAGGAGTCAGGCGAGGAGCGCAATACAAGTAGCTGGGCGCAGAGTATTGACGCATGGATTGCTCTCAAGGATGCGTGGGAAAGTGAGAAGGCCGAACTTGAACTTGCCTCTTAGAAGAATTAGGATGAACTGCGGGAGTCGACGACTATGAGGAATAACCTTGGTGTGCGCCTGCGCAATAAGGAGCCCTTGCAGGCCTTGTCGTCAAATCGCCAGAGGTTGTTAGCTGCAGACGCATACTTAAGCGAGGAGGACGAAGACGCACTTTCTGACGAGGATCCTCGCGATGAAGATAACCGGCAGGAAGAGGAGGGCGAGACTAAAGAGAGTCAGATGGAAAGGCGCGAGGAGGAAGAGGCTAAGGAAGAACCTATGTTCTTGACGCCGGCGAAGATCTTAAAACTGCAGAAGGCGCCGTCTGCGCAGAAGTCTCCGAGTTTACCGAATTTAGTGTCGTCGCCCTCGCCGGCGCCAGGCTCGAATAGGAAGAGGAAGAGGCGCGTAGAGGATGATAAGTCTTCGGTGGATAAGTAGGATAGACTAGCAGAGTTGAAGATTAACAGGCTGTTAAAAGAGGAGAAGGAAGAGAAGCAGCAGGACTCGAGACTAGACCGGTTAGAGGAGAAGTTAGACAAGATTGTTGATATGATTAACCCTTCGCCTCTACAGCATGTTGAGACTGTATAAGAGGAGGCAAGAGGCGTGGGAGGCAGTAAGGGAGAGAAGGTGAACTTTTCATAAAAACTTGCTAAGATGGAAGTAGCTAAGCGGACTAAGATAATGACAGATTTAGAAGAGCTAATGGTAGTGCAAGGGTTAACGATGGAGCAAGCTTTAGAAGTTATCTTCGATACTGGTATATAGCACTACTACAACATTAAAAAAAAATGATATCTAGTAGGGAATCGACTAAACAGAACCTGCTCTTTAATTTGGCCTATTTAGAATTACCTAAAAATGTCTATATTTGGGTAAGTATATAGTGTATAGTTAGGGTGATAGATAAATTCGAGCATTAGATTTCCTGGCTTAGCGGGGATTTAGTTATGTAAGGCCTAATTCCTATACTTCTAGGCCCGCCGGAAGTCTCCGGTTGCATTCTAAAGTAAGGCTAAAGCCAATTAGGAATGAATATCCCTATACCTTATTTCTATAATCCTTCCTAGAGTATCTATATATAAAACCAATATTTTTTCTACTACTAATTATATACTATAACTATAACTAATTTTAAAGAAAAAAATATACTTATATAGAGTAATTTAAGGGCTTTTATTTAGGCTATTAATTATAAAAAACTAAGATAGTATTTTTAATATATATATAATATTTAGCTAGTAGTTTTTTACCTATAATAGTATATTAGTTAGTAGCCTTAGGTAAGAGATATATATTAAACTTAAGTAGTTATATATTAAAGTAAGAGTAAACTATACTACTTTCTAGGTATAGAATAATATATATATTAGTTAATAGTACTACTAACTCCTAATATAATACTATAGATTAAAGACTACTTTTAAGACTATACTTAAAAAAGTTAATCTACTATAAGTTCTATATTCTACTAAATAGCTATTTTACTATAATCTAGATACTTAATAGAGTCTTATTAAACTCTTATTAATACTTTATAAGTAGTATATACTACTTACTAGTATATAGTCTAAATATATAGTAAAGTATCTTATAAGCTAGGTTACTATATAGGTATATAACCTTATTTAAAGTCTTAAATATAGCTTAAAAATAGTTTTTAAGTTTACTTTAATAATATATAGTAAGATTATTAATATAATCTTTCTATAGACTATTAATTATTAGAAAGGTATAGTTTAGTATAGTAATTAATATATAGATATAGGTCTAAGCTATATAATAAGATATAGATAAGAAAATAAAGAGATAGTAAAATAGTAGTAGTAAAGGCTTATAACTAGCCTTAGTAGCTATTATATAATATCTAGCTATAGCTAGCTAGTAGCTAGCTATAGCTAGGGTTACCCTAGCTAGTAGCTAGCCTAGGTTAAAATTATACTTAGCTAGTAGCTAGCTAAGGTTAGGGTTGCTCTTTAGTAGATAGCTAGCTAGCTAGGGTTAGGGTTCTTAGTAGGAGGAGTAGGATAGGATAGGATAGAGGCTTAGTAATCTTCTATCCTATCCTAAATAAGTAGTAGTATACTAAGAAATCTTCCATACTAATAGGATAGTAGCTTAATATCTTTTACTTATACTACTTAGTATAAAGAGGTATAACTATAAGATACTATATAATAAAGTATATATATATACCTAGGGACCTTTATAGCTATAGAAAACATAATAATAACATATTATTATATATATTACTATATTACTTATATTCTAATGCATATATATATATGCGTAACGCCGGCATATAGACTATAGCTTAAATCCCTATAATATTTACTTATAATAATACTCTCTATATAAACCTTACTAGGTACTCCTATTTATTAATTACTACTCCTATTCTAGTAGCAACAATAATAATAATAGCTTATAATAAGTAAACTAGCATAAAGACTCCTAGCTATAATAGGCCTCTACCTATAACTGTAGCTACTCTTACTACTCTATAAGCTACTATAAGTAACTAGACTCCTATTAGATATATAGTTATATAGTGTAGTCACTATACATTATACTATATATAAATTATACTATACGCTATGTATTACACTATATATATATTATATTATATACTACGCATTATACTAGATATATGTTTTATTATATAGCGTGCATTATACTATATATATAGCATATATATACATATTATACTACTATATATATAAGCTAACACATATATATAGCTAGGTCCTAAGGGCCCTACTACTAAGAGGGTAATGTAAGCCTACCTAAGAGCCGGTAGTAAAAAGCCTATTAGTACCCCTAGTATTAAGAAGAGATACTACTATAAGCCTAGTAGTAAGTACTTATAGTATAAGAATAGGAGTACTATATAGGAGTAGCTAATATAAATAGCCGTTACCCTTTATAAGATCCGTCGCTACTAGAAGTTAGCCGACCTCCTTATCTCTAAGCTTTCCTTCTAGCACCTTATTCGTAAGGTTACTTAGTATACTATCCGTCCTAGTAGTAACTTCCGCTAGTAGAAGTTAGCTATTAAGGCTATTTAGGAAGCCGCTAAGGCTTACCTTATTAGATACTTTAAGGCTACTAACCTTACTACTATTTATGCTAAGTGTAAGTCTAATAAACTATAGTACTATAGTATATAAATAACATTATATAGGTATTACTATCTAGAAGAAGGATATAGATCATATTAAGGTAATTACTCGTATCCTTACCCCTAGTTTAAGTATAGCCGAGCTCTAGATTATAATTATATACTACTACTATTAAGTCTTCTTTTTACCCTCTTAATAAACTTAAAATCCTTTTAAACTTAAAATCCTTTTATATAATAGTAATTCTCTTTATATATATAGCTACTAGATAAGCTAGCTTAAATTAAGTAACTAGATAACTCTTAGCCATTTTATATAGTACATAGATAGCTTCTAGTTAAAAATATATACTAGTAATAGAGATCTTACTAGTAATCTCTTATACTAGTCTCTTAAATAGTAAGTAAGGTATAAAAAGAGATAAAGGGTCATCTATAGTTAGTTATTTAATTTCCTTATAGATCTTTATATAAAGCTATAACTAGCGGGTTACTAGACGATTTTTTTAGTATTGTTTAACTAAGACTAGTAAGTAAATACGTCTATAATATTCTTTCTAACGATACTTATAGCTAGAGGCTATAATTAGCTTTAGCTTTAGCTTTAAAGTTTGTTAAAACTGCTTCTATACTAGAATATGTTAGCTACTCCTATTTAGTACTCCTATTAAGTAATACTTATAGGAGCGCTTTATAAGATTAGCTAGCTTTCGTAGCGCCTTTTAGGCTTATAATACTCTAGTACTTTGCTCTATAGGTAATAAGTAAGGAGAGTAAGGCGATAATACTAGTAATCTAGATTAAGGGTTACCTATAGTTATTTAAGTTAGTTAAGAAATAGTCTAGCTAGGCTAAGCATTAGGGATTATGCTTTAATTAAGTAACTTATTATTTATATCCTTAATAAGATGTATTAGATTATTATTATCTTTATAGTCCTTATTATTAGGATCCTTATAGTTAGTAAAGTGCTATTTAGAAATAAATCTAGGCATATTTAAAAGGAAGAAAAGGAAGTTAAAGATAGAAATTTTAATACTTTATATATAGTATACTAAGGTACTATATAATTAGTACTCTAATACTACTCCTATCTAAAGTTAACTTACTAACTACCTTATCTAAGCTCTCTTACTTAGCGCTTCTATAACTACCTTATCCTTACTAATATATTATAGCTTTATAGTACTTTCGATCTCCTATTTCCTTTATAGTATTATAGTCTTCTTTACTTTAGACCTTATTAGGTTATCTTCTTGCTAGAAGCCTATTATATTATTAAGTAATAGTACTTTAAGCTCTTAAAGCAAGATTATAAAGTATTATATTATTATAAGAGCTATAAATATATATAGTATATAGGGACGATTAAACTAGTAGGTATGGCGTACTATACTAAATGTTTGCTTAATACTAATTGCTACTACTAGGATACTAAGAATGTCTTAAGTAAGCTTAGATAGTTATAGGAACTTTAGAGTAAGTCTTAACTAGATTACTAGAGGATTAGTAGTACGTTTCTCGCTATAAAAATTATAGCTAAAGTTAGCCTTAGCTAGAAATGGTTAGCTACTCCTATTACTACTCCTATTGCTACTCCTATTATAACTTACTATAGGCTTTCTACTCTATAATTTTATCGATCTTAGATATCTCTTCCCCCTCTTAGAAGTACTCTTTAATAGATAGATCTTCGATACTTATAAGATTATATCCTAGCTATCCTCGATTCTATACTTAGCTTCTAGTCTATAGCTCTTAATCTTATATATCTTAGTCTTAATACTTCTTATTATAAAGAAGCTTAAGCGACTTCTAGTATTACTACTTATATTAGGAATCTTTACGCTAGTAGTAATTATTCTAGAATATGTCCTTTAAGAAAGGAAGTAATAGGATAGTATAGCTATAGGTATTACTATATAATTAAGTAGTCTAAGAGTAATATTTCCTAAGTTTCTCTATACTAGCATCGATAGTAGTAAGGAACTTCTTTTTCTATAGTATTACCTTTTAGAATAACTTAGTATAAGTATCCTCTAGAATATAGAGTAGACTATTATATACTATAAAAGGTAGATAGATTATTATACTAAGACATACTAAAAGAGATTTAGTCTAGTAAGAAAATAGTTAAAGAAGCTTAGTAAGATACTTTAGCTACTTCTACTCCTTATTTATAAGCTTAAGATAGTCTAGGAGCTTATTAAGATTATATATTAGAAGTAGAGCGTCCTATAGTATCTATACTCGTATTAACATATAGAAGGTTAAATTAAATCGTGTCTTAACATCCTAAATAAGCTTTAATAGCCGGAATAGTTGCTTATTAGGGTTAGTATCTAAGTTCTAGACCTAGTGTTAAAAGTCCCTAAAGATGTTATTACGTCTACTATTATAATTAACCTAGATAGTCATTTTACGAAGCTTTACTATTATATTAGCTACTCCTATTTAGTACTCCTATGTAAGTTTAGCATACCTTAATAACTACGGCTTAGATAGGATTTAGTCCTTTAAGCCCCTTAAACCCTTTTTTATTATCCTAAGTCCTCTTTACCTCGTTATTCTTAGGCTCTAGAGCTAGCTTACTAAGCATAGCTTTAGGCGTAAGCTAAATAACATGCACTAGACATAGTATAGAGATAGGATTATTAGTATGCTTAGTATCTAAATCTTTTTCCTTACTCTTACTATTATAGATTAGCTAAGTAGAGACTATAATTACTAGTATAGATTATGTCTCTATAAGTAATAGCTCTTTATAGACCTCTTTTATTATCTTAAGTAGTATGTAGTAGAATGTCTTATTATTACTAGCATTATTATATATAATCGAGATTACATGCTATTATAGCTAGTACTACTTAATTATCTTATATATATATTTTAAAAGCTGCTAACTAGTATGCTGTTTATATAGTAGAATAAATGCTAGAAGGAAGATCCTAGTATACTAATTATTATTAATATAATATGCCTTAATAGCTAGATAGGATTAACAAGAGTATAGAGTAGACTAGTAGTCTAGCGTAAGAGCAATCCTTACTATAGTTACTATAAAAGTATCTATAATAGACTATTTATTAGCTTCTACTCTCTTTATTACTTACTTATGCTATGCACTACTAGTAAGGAGATTAGCATCTAGTTATAGCTTTTAGTAGGATTACTAAACTAATAGACTTTTAAAGAATATTAATAGTAGACTATAATTAATAATTATATTAGTCTAAAGCTCCTTAAAGGTCGAATTAGTAAGACGCTAATCTAGATCCTAAGCACTAGTTAATTATACTACCTTTAGACTTATAGAAGTAGTATAGGAGTAGTATATTATAGCTAGAGAACTTACCTTTATAATTAGAGCCTACTTAATAATAGGTAAAAGGTGTTTTTATATACTAATTTCTTTATAAGCATTAGTTTATAGGTAACTAACTATACTAGTAGTACTACTACCGAAGCTAGGATATGCTAAAGCTATATTATAATAAGTATAAAGGAGGTATAGTAGACCTTTAACATTAGCACTATTATTAAAGTAGATCTACTTATAAATACGCTTAGTATCTAGCCTTGCCTATACTAGACTATGCTTTTAATAGATGCTACTAAGCTAATAAAAGTATATAGTACCCTTCTACTATTTCTTATACTTATTAGCATATCTCTTATAATAGAGATATAGTAGTGTCCTATCCTTAGCTTTCTTTAAATTAAAGGTTACTACCTACTATACCTAACTAAATAGTAGTAGAGTAAGAGGTAGAGTTAAACATAGTATAGAAGGTAGCTATAATATAGGTTAGGATCGTAGTTAAGATTATAGTTAAGATTATAGTATAGAAGACTAGATAGACTATTATCGCTAGTAGTTCCGTAGTAAGCGTCTAAGTAGATTTTCTAGTATTTCTAGCTATAGGTTAAGATTAAGAAACTATAAATAAGGCATAGTATAGTAGAGAGATAGTCTAAGTTATAAGGAAGAGCAGAATAAAGTTTTATACCCTATATCTAACTAAGCTATAGATGCTAGTATAGAATAGGAATAGCGCTATATAGGAGTACTAAATCTATCTACCTCTTAGTAACTAGTAGTAGCACTATATCTTAGCTATGCTCTTCTTCTCTAAGCAAAGGTTCTTTCTAATAATAGGGTAGCTTCTCTTTACTCTATGCCTATAACTACCCTAACTAGTACTCTTCTCCCTTATAACTACTAAGGATAGTAGTAAAATACTATCCTTATAGTAGAGGCAGCACTTTTTAAATCTATTAATGTACCTAAGTATATAGTGCTTAGTAGCTATAAAAAGGACTACTATTTTAGACTTAGCTATAAGTAGCTCGCTACCGGTATAGAGCTTATTAAGAGCCTTAGTACTAGGTATAGTGCTATTAAATAGACTAAAGGCAAAGAGTCTAAAGGTAGATCTAGCTATGCTAGCTACCTCGGAGGGTAGAGGCATCTAGCTATGCTTACTATAGGCATAGCCCTATAGCTACTACTAGCTAGGACCTAGGTATATAGCCCTAGAGTCTTTATACTTCTACTTAAGGTTAGTTAGCTATAAGAAGAAGCTTATGCTCTTAGAATCCTAGTAAGTAAGATTACGCTAGATAGTATGTTCTTTAGCTATAAAGAAGTAGTAGGGTAGGATCTTCTTACTATTATTAATTCTTACCTATATTATAGTTAGAATTAGCTACTCCTATATAGTACTCCTATTCTAGAAATGCACTTATCTTAAGATAGGTCTTAATACTAATATCTTTTTATAATAGTTATTATATAGAGTATATAGCTATATAAGTAATTAAAATAATAAATTAATACTAAAGTTAAGCTAAATAGAATTAGTAGTAAGCTACTTACTCTAATAATTGATCCTTTAAGTATTGATATATTTTATAGTATATATCCCTAAACTTTAGCTCCTTAAGTTGCAGCACGCCTTTAAAAGAAAAAGAGGAAATGGAGAAATAATATCAGATTCAGTTGACCATTCATATCTTTTGAAGATTATTCGGGCTTGAGCTACATAACATGACTTCCTATCATGATTTCTGCAATAAGAAAACTTCAGCTAACCACTTTAATGTAAACTAGCCCAAGCTGATATGTTCAAAAAAAAGAGCTTACAGACAGTTCCATTAAACTTGAAAGATCCAGTTATTGAGTTATAAGTGGTACAAGAAAATGTGGGAAACAGCTACCACTCAGCGGAAGTACATCTAATCATCTACGGTCAACATATCAATCTCTCCTTATAGGAGTTTTCACATTGCAACGTTCTAGAGATACAAAACTTGAAGATATTCGCTGAGGCTTTCTTGGACATGGAGGATAGAATCAAGAATAATATTCTTGTTTCAGAATCGAGAATAAGATCTTTGTCTAGAATCGATCATGATGATAGTATATCGCGGAGATATGAACTGGGAACAAGCCATTGCCCTGTCGTATCTGTATAGAAGCCACGACTGAGCGCACCAGCCCAAAGCGACATGATAACATATGCTGACCGTAGTGGCTACAGCGATACTAGCCATCAAAGTGTCGTTCTGGAGGGGAGTCCCATGAGAAGAACTGAACGGAGACTTGAGACGCACCAGGTTAACCGCCAACGGCCAATTGAATAGCTTATGCGTCTTGTTAGCCATACCCAATTGCACTTGCCTACTAATGAAAAACTGCATGTTGATCGTAGCAACAGAGAAGAGATAGTTAGCTCAGATTGATAATACAGGATGAGCCGTATGAAGGAGTCTGAAGAGAACAGGAAGGAATCAATCAGTCATGCTAAAGTCTGAAAGTATTGATCCATAGATACATTGGAAGGAGCATAGCAAATAGCATTTTTGACATTCCAAGACTCAACTATGATCATCGCGCCACTCGACACCATCACTGATGCCGGCCTGCTCAGCTGTGCTTTCTTCTCTGGCCTTGATGGAAGCTTGATCTACATCTGACACAGCAGGACTTACCACAACCGCATCATCCTCGTAATCATCCTCAAAAGCGGCCGGGTCAGCCAGACGAGTGTGTTCGGCTTCGTGAGTGCCGTCGTCTGCAGATACAGAAATACCTCTTGGGCCCCAAGCGTGCTGATTCTTGCCTGCTGGACGGATGATACCTTCTTCTTGACCTGCCAAAGCAGCATCGTCATCGTCGTCGTCATCGTCATGTTCGGTATTTCCTCTTCGTCCAAGGACCTTACTGATCAACCAGCCTCTGCTTATGTCGTCACCATCCACAATACCGCCATATCGCAGCTTGACGCGCTGTCTTGTCCAATATACCCAAGCAAAGTCGAAGTAGAACAGAGTCTGAATGATGCCGAATGTAAAGCTTACGGGAAAGATGGCAGGAAGATGCTCCTCGGTAATGCTGCGAACGATCCAGTTGAGAATGTAAAAGGCTCGATATGAACCGAGAGTAGCGAGATAGAAACTGTCAATGACAGTGGGGACGGAGGTTTGACGGAGAAGGAGTAACTGCGGAAGGACACAGAGCGATTCGAGGATAAGCGTGAAGGTATAGGGGATCTGACTTGTCAGCGAGACTACTTACGAGATACGTCGAGCAGCGATACTGACCTCGAAAGCGCCATTCGAGGTGAACGGAGTCTTTCCCATGAAGATGGCGGCCACGACAGGAGCGCACACGACCGATCCCACCACACTCCAAAGTCCCATCTTCCATGCTTTTTCGCGTTCTCTCGTACGCGCATAGACTCTTGTCATGAGGAAGACGATATATAGCGACGTCGAGATATAGAAAATCTTAAGGCTGAAGTTCCAAAAGCCTAGGAAACCATGGAGGTTGCTGAACAGATCCAGGTAGCGTACAATGAAGACGACGCAGTATAGCGCTTGTGTAATGAGAGACACGCCTATTTGAAGATAGTCAGAGACGACGTCTGGTAGTGAGAGCAGGTCACGCACCCTCAGCGCTCTTGTTGGTGTGTATAGACCATATCAGGATACACTTGGACACGGTATGGCTGACGTCGCCGAGGATGCGGAATGGATTGAGCAACATTTGGACTCTTGTGAGGTGATGCGTCACCAAGGCATCTGCTCAGACCCGTCTCTTTGTATGTTCACTTCGAAAGTGTCTGCCTATTGTCAGTAGTGTCTAGGTCGAGAGCTTAAGTTGCTGCATCACCCGAACGGCGAAGGGGTCATAGTCTGGGGCAGCTGGCCTCGCCTAAACTTGCCCTCCGTTGAGCGGACTAGCCGCCGACCACGCGGCCGCAAAGACCAGCTCGATCTGACGAGTCTCATCGATTCGGAGTAGTATGCAAAGGTAACTATCTGTCGAGCTGCGATGCTCTCCTAAGTGTATCGTGAAGGTATGAGGCTTAGCCGAGATTGATTTTACAATTCACTACATGATGTTTTCTGGAAGCCAAATCTCTACATGGAGTCCCCAGAGCTCTCCAATGCGTAGTGAACATCTCGTCGTCTAGCCATTATAACCATATGGATACCTCTCCCTCGTCCTGTACTTGCAACTAACAGCATGAGCTTTGTCCTTGTGCTTCAGCATGTCCTCCCATGTCGCCAAACATTCCCAGCAGAATTTCTGTCTACAATTTTTCGCCTGTCATTCTCTTAGTCTAAATCTTAGGAACCCGGCCGACAACTTCGAATATATGATCACATCATCTGACTTACCCTGCATTTCATCTGATCGCATCCATCAGTCTTCTCGATCAGGACCTGGCATTTTGGACATTTCTTCCAGACAGTGCTGTTTTGTTGTTGGGCCATAAATCTTGTGGTTTCACGTTCCTCTTGCTCATGGGTCATCCTCTCGGTTTGGTTCCGAAGACGAGCATCGTACTGCCTGCAACTCTCGCCATGGTGCCACTCCGTTTTGTGGTGTAAACATTGCTCATAGTTGCAAGAATGGCATTTCATATATCCCAGACCGCCAATCTGTTCTTGACCTCCAGTACAACCGACACGGAGACACCAGTGAAAATCGCGCAGGTCGTCGATGATGGCCCGTGTAGCAAATCTGTCGTACCGGGCAAAAGTCTCGGGGTTGCGGCAAGCGCGACGGACGTCCTCATGGTTCAACAGCGTGGTACACTGTGGGCAGTCGATTGTTGCTCGTGCGTTTGCATCTATCTTCGTGGCGACCCACTGCTGTAGGCATGCAGAACAGACTTCAGCAAGGTGCGTACAGTGGCTCGATGGCGGCCTGACCGGGAACTCCAGGACATGTAAAGATTCGCAGCACACTGCACAATCTCTGGTCAAGGTTTGCGATTCTGCAACGCGCCTACTGTCTTCCTCTTCCTGTAGATGCAAAGCCATATCGTAGTCACCTGCTATTTGCGCTGCGAGTCGTTCTTGTTCTTCCCAAAGTAGTTTCTGGAGAGAACCATGTACCAGATTGGCTGACTTGTTGTCGGTACCTGAAGCCAAAGGAGATCGAGGTTGAGCAGAAGAATTGCGTTCTGAGTCAATCCTACCAGATGGCATGAAGGAACTAATGTTGTTGCGAGATTCGAAAAAGTCTGCCCTGTTTTCAAAATCCTTTGTGGTAGGTGAGGGCTGGTGCAGTACCGATCGACATCCGGTACTCAATGTCGGTAGGTCAACGCTCATGAGTCGTTCAGGTGCAAGGTAGTATTCGGAGTCTGAGCTCAGTCGATATGCGTTTCCAGCATCAGATGAAGCCATCCTTGTGTTCCGTTGATGATCAAGTTGTCTTTGTCTTAGCGCAGCATTGCGCCTGGCGGTACCCGCGTGGTGAGCATCATTGCTAGAAGCCGCGAGCTGGGAGTGACGATGGCCCATATATATTGGTCTTATCGGATGCAACTTCAAGAGATCTGTGGGTGAGTTGTAGGTTGTTGCAAGGCCACATGCGAAATTACGTTGATGAACAGTTTGGACCGAACTGATCGCAAGAGTGTTGAATCTTGCGAACAGTCATGAATACACGTCTAGATAGGTGAGCATTCTTGCTCAAATTCGAGGGTCAGAAAAAGCTTAGTTGTGGTCAGCAAGACCACGAGCCAGGAGAGCATGTTGAAGGCTGTGGAGGACTGAAGTCTCTCAATCAATGACGCTTTGGCGTGTACAAACGAAAGGATAAGAACAAACCCAACAGTCTTCGTGATGTTCCCATAGTAGCGACATTACTGATCGGGTCTGAACTGGATAACCGAGTCGAGTCTACATAAGGTCATGAGCAGAGTGAGTGTTGAAAGTTGGAAGGTCGTCATCCGGAGGATAGACTGAGGACGGCAGATCGGCAAGCACGAGCCAACTAGCAAGAGCCGAACCTGGGGTTTGGTAGAGAACGGCCGCGTCCAATGCCGAGAGTGGAGTCAATTGAAGCAGAACCCTTTTCAGAGATATCATGAATGCAATCTTGTCAAAGTCGCCATCTAGACAAGACAAGAGATTGGGATGGATACTTGAAGGCAGAGCGTTCGAAACGAGATGGGCTGGTTGCCGGATTGGTCAAAAAGAGTTCGACGAAAGCGCAACGCTCGCTAGAAGGATGACGATTTTGGTTGCTGTGTCGACGGCGTGCAGGTGTTGGATGACAACAATCGAACTAGCCAAATGCACCCACGTTTCTCCATCCTGGATACCATCTGTCTACCTCGCTGCCACACAATCTTGTATGCAGAACATCGCGTCATTCGACTGTCAAAAGACTACACACAGAGTCACTCATCACATTCGCTGAGCATCTCGACCATCACAAACAGCCGCCATGCCGGCAACACCAGCTTCTGAGATGGCGCCTAGTGTGTCGCTTTCTTGTAAGTACAACTCGAACTCATAGGCCAAAACCAAGACTGATACCAGACGCAGTCGCAAACAACTTCTGGGGCAAGGAAGACGCCGGCGTCGACCCTTTGCTTGAACGTATGCACAACTCCAAGATCACCAGTGATGAACTCAAATCATTCTACACCCAACGAGCTGCCATCGAAGAGGAGTACTCTCGTAAACTCTTGAACCTCGCTCGGAAACCACTGGGCTCCTCCGAGGCCGGCACCCTGCGCATGTCCATGGATGTCGTCCGTGGAGAATTGGAGGCAATGGGCAAGTCTCACCAACACATCGCACAACAGATGAAGGGCGAGCTTGAAGAACCACTCTCAACTTTCTCTGGCGGAATCAAGGAGCGCCGTAAAATCATCCAGAATGGCATCGAGAAATTACTCAAGACCAAGACACAACAAACACACACCGTCAACAAGGCTCGCGACCGTTACGAACAAGACTGTCTGAAGATCAAGGGCTATCTCGCTCAAGGCCACATGGTCATGGGTCAGGAGGAACGCAAGAACAAGGCCAAGCTGGAGAAAACTCAGATTCAGATGTCGGCCACCAGCAGTGAGTACGAGCAAGCTGTCAAGGTGCTCGAAGAGACAACCGCCCGCTGGAACCGCGAATGGAAGGCCGCCTGTGACAAGTTCCAGGACCTCGAGGAGGAACGCCTTGACTTCACAAAGAGTAGTCTATGGAGCTTTGCCAACATCTCTTCCACCGTCTGCGTCAGCGACGACGCCTCTTGTGAGAAGATTCGCCTGTCTCTGGAGGATTGCGATGTGGAGAAGGATATTGCCTCTTTCATCAAGGAAAGCGGCACAGGTCAGGAGATCCCTGACCCACCCAAGTACATCAACTTCTGTCGCGGCGACATCAACGACAATGCATCTGATGTTTCAGATGATGCCAACTACTCGGTCGCTCAATTCCAGAGGACCATGAACCCTGCTTTCCGTTCATCTTCACCGCAACCTTCGACTTATTCTTCCCACCATGATCCCGCTTCCTCTCTCGCTCAGGAGATGGCGCTCGGCTCATCGGTCAATTCTGAAAGGTCTCAGAGATCGCAGCAATCTGCAGTAGTTGCTCAGCCACCACGCCGCTCTAGCCAACAAGCTATACCAACTAATGCTTACCAAGACTTCCCCAAGGTGCCTCACAATGAGTATCCCATGGATGGCATGACTCAATTCTGCAGGCTTGGTCCTCCATCGGATCGTAGTTCTATTCCTAGTCCCACACGTCCAGAGGACGATTCGCACAGTGAGGTCTCGAACGCAAACTCTTTCTCGAGCATCGAGCCTCCCACTTCCCCCGTGAAGCTTAACGGCTCCACAGTATCCACCAGCAGTCAACAGGAGGACAAGACGCTTCAAAAGAGACGAAGTGGCTTCTTCCAGAACCACAGCCCATTCGGACGTCGCAAGAGTAAGCACGAGAACGCTGCTCCGGCCTCGATCTCGAATGCTCCAGCTTCACGTAACACTTGGGGTCCAGCTGCTAGGCCACAGACCGCATCTTCCCCAGCTCGTCCCTTTGGACGTGAAGCCAAGAACGTTGGTTTTGGTAACGACCCTCTGCCTAGTCCTGACCCAGAACCTGTCGACCCTCGTGCCAACTTTCAGCTCAACATTGGTAACAATGTCTTCGATGTCGCAACGCCTGATGCTCGCAAGAGATCAGCCGCTGCAGAGGAGCCTAGTGGAGAGCTTGATCCCATTGCTCAAGCTCTGGCCGAGTTGAAGGGCGTCACAAAGCAAGCCTCGACTCGTGTTTCGGCAGATCGCTATGCGGGTATCCCTACTCCTGCCCCCGGCGCTGGCAGAGCCTCTCCATCACCTCTGCTTGCAAACTCGGACGCCCGTGCTGCTCAACGAGGCACTCCACCACCATCGTATGACCAACCAATGAGGCGACTTGGGGCACCACAGCCAGCATTCACTAGTAAGCAGATGCAGCAGACAACAGCCAGTTACATGACTCAGAAGAGGGACATGTTCAATGCTCCTCCACGTAATACACCTTCTCAGATGGGCTCTCGTCCAGCAAGTAGAGGTGGAGATCCGAATGAGATGATGCGCTCGGCCTCTCCAGCACCTCTTCGCACTAGTTCACCAGCACCTCCACGTGCCACAAGTCCTCGTCCCAGCACAGGCTACGACCGTAGGTCTCAGCCAATTCCTCAAGGGCAGGGGTACCGCTCCACTTCGCCGAACCCCTACGGTGGAGGTCCTCCTGGTAGCATGCCAGCAGGAAGACCACGTGCACAATCGACAAGCCCGATAAAGCAGCAACGTCCTGGCTTCAATCAGGCTTACGCATCTCATGGTAACTCTCCGGTGTCTGCTATGCCACGATCTACTAGCCCCAATCCCCAATTCCGCGGCTCGGCTGGACCGGGCAGCAGACCATCGAGCAGCCGTGGTGATCCTGCAGCTATGGCAATGCAGTTGGCTCCAGCAGGGGATCAAGGATACCCCTCTCCCTCTCGCGGATCACAAGGTGCACCTCTAAGACCAACCAGCACATATTACGGAGCAGAAGGTGGGTGGGCAGCAGCATCATCACCTCGTGGAGGTGCTCCTCAGCAGCAACAACAAGCACAGCAGCAGCAATTGAGCACACGGGTGCGCAGCCAGAGCTCTGCTGGACAGCGACAGTTCACCAAGGATGGAAGACCCATTCTTCAGTTCTGTAAGTTTGAGCACAAGAACATCAACATGACCCAACGCTAATTCAATATCAGCTCGAGCAATGTACATGTACCAGGCAGCCATTCCTGAGGAGCTGACCTTCGCAAAGGGAGACATCCTGGCCGTGCTGAGATTGCAAGATGACGGATGGTGGGAAGCCGAAGTGGCTGGCAAGGATGGCAGAAGAGGACTTGTTCCTAGCAACTACCTGGTTGCTGCTTGATTGTTTTTCGTTTGTTCTCCAAGTCTCTCGCTCGTTGTTTCTCTTATACCCTTCTTGGCGGCGAGAATTGTTCAATCGGACTGTGTGTTTCCTTGGTTGAGAGCGGTGCTCAAGATGTAGATTTCGCCTAGTGGAATTGATAGTTGTGTTGTGCTTCCAAATGAAGTCCCGCTATCGTGTTGTGATGCCAATGTACCTGTCTAGAGCAAGAAGCCATATTTGTCTCTGCTCAAACATATCTACTAAGATGGTCGGAAGCCATAGAGATTTCGGTCATGAGAGTGAAAGATGATAGAAAAATGTCGGTCAGGGTGGTAAGGATGACATGGAAGTGGACTTCGGTCTTGGCGGACGCGAGAAGCCGCTAAGCTGGTTGCTTCTGCTGGGTTGTCGACACATACTCTACCTATTCGAACCATTCGACCATCTTCAACCACCCTCTCTTCGACAGCGAGCAACAGAGGCTAATGGGCGGGTAGTCGTCACTAATGAGCTTCCCCTCGTCCAACAACACGCATAATCCTTCCGACAACCAGTTTTCGCAACCCCAGCAGTCGACCTCACGCGCCTCGAGGCCAGCACGCCGCGGCCTTCCCCCCATCTCAACCCAGGCCCCGTCTGCTACCAACTCGCCCGCGACGCGCCATATTCTTAGTCGCAACTCGTCCGCTTCGTCAACCTCGTCTGTGCTGTCGCCCACCCAGCAGCAGCAACAGCGCTCAATCTCTAGTGGGGTCACGTCTACACCCACTTCAGCGACACTGCCACCAGCTCCCCAGTCAGCTGGAAGGAGATTCGCAAGAGCTTCTCAACAGCCGCAGTCCGTCTCGGCCTCGCCAATCTCGGCTCAATCGTCGGGCGCGCCGTCTGGACAGTTGACCAGCTTGGTCATTACCCAGCTGAACATCCTGCTGAGTACTCTGAAGGACGACAAGAAGTGGGAGATACAGGCCGAAAAAATCCAAAAGGTAAGCGTCGCATTGGCAGCGCTTGTCTAGTGCATCAGAATTGACTTGATGGCAGTTGGTGGATGCGCACGGAATGGACGTGTCGACAACATATTTCCGGAGGCTGTTGCAGAGCAATGCTCCTCTGATCTTCTCATCAAACCAAAATGCACAGCGCTCAGCATCAGACAGCGGGAGCTATCCGCTGCTCGTCAGCGAGATGCAAAAATTGACACGCATGCTTTCGCAAGCTGCAAAGATTGCTGACGCCCTCGACACCAATACCGATGGCGACCTCTTCAAAGATTTCGACCTATCTACCTTCATGGATCATTTCAGACTAGACCCCACCGCGAAGGTCACCCTTGCGCTAGCCTGCAAGTTGGTCTCGAAGCAAGACATCAAGACAAAGGGTATCTGATCCGACACATGTCCACCTGAAATCCCAACCTCCAAAATCTCGTTACTAACATATACCCTCCAGCCGATGCGATACTGAGCAACAACTACTCGCCCTTTCTAGAAGCCATCGCAAACCCCACCGCTGACGACATCAGCTCCTCCTTCCTATCCAGTATCCTCTTCCGCCTGATCCTCGACCCCCCACGGCAATGGAATAAAGATGCCCAGGAGCACCTCCTTGGCAGCTTAAACGAACGCTTCGTAAAGCTTCGCACCTACCCCTCGAGCGAAGTTAGCGCTTTCATTGCCTTCATGGATCTGATCCCTACCAACACCGCCCTCATCCGCCCCATACAAAGGGAGGGTCCCAGAACCACATCCTCAGTCGACAGCTGCAAAGATGTCCTGGCTAGAGTGGATCAAATTTCGCCGCAGTTGGTCGCTGTGGCACTGGCGTATATGCTCCTCTCTGACGAGTCTTACGATATCGGCGTCTTCGTTTCCGCCGTCCGCCAGCACCCCCAGGCACAGAACTTGGATTGGTATGCCGTTGTGAAGGCTTTCGACATGGCCCCTATGCGCATCACCAAATCGCAGTTCCTGGCTCTTTACAATGCCTTGCTCCCTATTGCTCGCGAGACCGACACCTTCGACATTCAGTGTCTGTGGGGCGGTTCGTGGCTCTCGACCAACGCTCAGCTATCTTTTGTCACCGCCTTCCTGTCTTGCTCGCCTCAGGAACTGGACGCCTCTCAGATCCCCCGTCTGCGTGCCGCCTTCTCCATGGACGAATTTGCTGATGCGTCTGAAGAAGTCAAGGCCTATGCGCAAAAGGCTGTGAGCCACCCGATGGTGTCCTTGGAAGCCACAAAATTCCTTTTCCATGTCATCTTCCAATCGCAGGATGCATACAACCAGGCGCAAAACCTCGGAATCCCCGAAATCGTTATTAACGCCAACACGGATATCTTCGTGTGTGCTGCGTCTGCTTGTGAGAAACCGTGGGCAGCGCTTCAGGAAATGGCGCTTAATCAGCTCTTCCGTCCATTCTTCCACAAATCTCTCCCTAACTATGACTTCGTTCTGCATGCTCTTTGGAAGCACGACAAATCTTGGCTGGCTAGCAAACTGGTTGAAGCTTACAATGCCGACCCAACCTTACTAGCTATCATCTTTGAACACGCTCGCCAACATGCATGGACAGATACTCTCCTTCTCATCACAAATGAGTTTGGACTGGATCTTGCTGCATACGGCCACGGTCAAGGAGAAGTTGATCTAGAAGTTTGGGCCCAGGGTCATCTTGAGATATCGCCCCAACAGCTTGCTGGAGCCGTTGTCACATTCTTGAGAATCAAAGCCGAAGACGAGCAATCGGTCCAACGTGATCACCCACACCAGGTTGTGCCTCTCAAGGTCAAGACAGTCTACGCTTTACTCAACGTCATCCATGGACATCTCAGTGACGAGGAGATTGGGGCCATACAGCGCGTTTGTCTTCAAGTTTACCCCCGTTTGATCAACTATGGCTATAAGTTCGATCATGTGATTGATGCCAACGGTGAGAATGGCAATGCTCTCTCCGAGGACGCTGATGCAAAGATGCAAGAACAATACAAGATGATGTACAGCAACGAAGTGGATCCAAGAGGTATGATCGAGCGTCTTCAACATCTTAAGGAGTCCGAGGACCCTGCCGACCAGGACCTCTTCGCTTGCATGATTCACGGTCTCTTCGACGAGTACAACTGCTTTGGTGAATACCCATTGGAAGCTCTGGCCACGACTGCTGTTCTGTTTGGTGGTATCATCAACTTCGGTGTTCTCTCCTCTCGCGTTACACTTGGTGTTGCTTTGTTCATGGTCCTGGATGCTGTTGCAGAATATGCTCCAGAGGATTCCATGTACAAATTTGGTCTTCAAGCCCTGCTTCATTTCATCAACCGCCTTGAGGAATGGCCAAGCTTCTGTACTCGTCTTATCGCAATCCCTCATCTGCGCGGCACAGAAGTCTGGACCAAGGCCGAGGAAGTTGTGCGTCGTCAGCCTGGCCTTGATCTGCGTAGTGGTGGTGACTTGCAGCCCGAGCTTTCGCTTCCAAATGGCAACCTAGAAGATTTTGTCCTCGAGTCACAATATCCTCCATTCCGCAGCATTCATGTCGAAGCGCCGTTAAGGCCTGAGATCTACGAAGAGCCCGACGAGGAGATCTCGGACAAGGTCATGTTCGTCCTCAACAACGTGTCAAAGCACAATATCGAGGAGAAGTTCCAAGACCTGCAATCTGCTCTTGAAGAACGCCACCATCAGTGGTTCGCCAATTACCTTGTCGAGGATCTCGCTAAAGCACAACCCAATTTCCAGAGTCTCTACCTGCAGATCCTGACCATGTTCGATGAGAAGATCTTGTATGCAGAAGTGCTGCGAGAGACTTACAGCAGTGTGTCAAGAATTTTGAACGCCGAAGCAACGATGAACAACTCTCAAGATCGTACTAATCTGAAGAACCTTGCCACTTGGTTGGGTATGCTTACTTTGGCTCGCGATCAGCCTATTTTGCACCGCAACCTATCGTTCAAGGACCTTTTGATCGAGGCTCACCAGACCCAGCGTTTGCTCATCGCTATCCCTTTCACCTGCAAGGTTCTTTCTCAGGCTAAGGACTCCAAAGTGTTCAGACCTCCACAGCCGTGGTTGATGGAGTTGATTAGCTTCCTGGTCGAACTCTATGATTATGCGGAACTCAAACTCAACCTCAAGTTTGAGATCGAAGTTCTGTGCAAAGACTTAGGTCTCGACCATAAGGAAGTTGAGCCAGCTTCAATCATCCGCACCCTGCCCCTTCACCTTGAGGGCGAGCTCCTACAACAATACCCGACTGACACTATGGACGGCTTTGGTGATATGCATCTCATGTCTCTATCCAAGAGAGCTCCGAGCGAACGTTTCTCATCCCAGGATGTCCTCAAATCTCTTCCAGATCTTGGTGCTATGCTCAACTACCCGCCTTCATCAGGAAGCATCTCTCAAGCTCAACTGAAGAACATCTTCCTCGAAGCTGCCCAACGTGCCATTACTGAGATTATTGCTCCGGTCGTGGAACGTTCGGTTACCATTGCTGCTATTTCGACATCGCAGCTCGTCGAGAAAGATTTCGCCATGGAATCTGACCCCGAGCGATTCTCTTCGTGCGCTCACAACGTGGTCAAGGCACTTTCGGGAAGCCTGGCTCTTGTTACCTGCAAGGAGCCTTTGCGTATGAGCATTTCGAACAACATCCGCATACTCGCAGCCCAGAACTTGCGAGAGCCTCTTCCAGAGGGTTCCATTCTCATGTTCGTAAATGACAACCTTGACACAGTTTGCAAGCTTGTTGAAGATGCCGCGGAGTCACAATCTATGGCCGAGATTGATGCACAAATTCAGGAGTCGATGGAGCGTCGCAAGAGACACAACGAACAACGCCCTAGTGAGCCCTTCAACTTCCCTGCCGTTAGCCGATGGGCCTTCTTCATCCCCGACCCATACCGACAAGAACCTGGTGGCCTGAACCCCCAACAACTGGCCATCTATGAGGAGTTCGGCCGTCAAATGCGTCTACCTGCAGCCCCTCATGCCAATGCGGTATCGCAAGACAATACCCGCCAGCTGCAGGAGCTTACCGACAACTATCTAACGAGCCTGCCCACTCCTGCCGAGGCACCGGCTATTCCTCGACAAGGACAACAGCAACAGCGTCTTGTACCCGCACAGGGCCAGACTAATGGTTACATGACCACTGATGTCCTCATACAACATGTCTTTGAGGCACTAGCTGAACTTCAGCGTGTCGCCCACGAAGCACCGGAAGAGCACATTGGCGAGATCGGTCCTAGTTCGCCTGTCCGCGAGGCATATGCACAACTGATGCGCATGATTGAAAGCTCTCCTGAAAAGGAGCCACTTGCCCTCGCCGTTGTGCAGAGAGCAACGCTGTTTGCCTACACCAAGAGTGAAACGCGCCTCGAGATCGAGGTCTTTGTTGAAGTCCTGAACCACCTTTGTCTGATCTCCGTTAACACGGCTCGTAGCTTGACCATCTATCTGCAGTCAATCAACGATGACAAGGTCTACAATGGTCCTGTCACTGTCTGTTTGCTGAAGACTGGCCTGCTCGATATCCATCACGTCGATTTGCAAACCTCTCAGGCAATCATGCAGAAGAAGACCGTCGCTGTCGAGTTCTTGGGTGCACTGATTGATGAGCTGATCTTGAATGAGCATCCAGCTGCTCTTCGTGCAGACTTTGTCCTATCCTTTGGTGCTCTCGGCCAATGGCTCTCCGAGGACCCCAGCATCGAGCTGGGCAAGGACATTATCAAGAAACTTCAGGACGTGTCTAATGGTGCACCTCCGCCAAGTCCTCCTGCTTCTGACAAGCAGGATCAACTCGAATATGTGTTCGAGGAATGGGTACGCCTTCAGAGACCCGAGGTGCCTGAACGCTACTTGGTGGCTTTCATTCAGCAGCTGCAGAGTCGTAGCCTGCTCAGCAACCAGGAAGAATTCTCTGCATTCTTGCGTGTCTGCATTGAGATGTCACTGGACTGCTTCGAGCGTGAGGCTCTCACCTATGGCAGCCTCGACCACGCTTACATTCATGTCGACGCTCTTGCAAAGTTGATTGCTGCACTTGTCGCATACCAAAGTGAGGGTGAAGGAGTTCTTTCAGGCTCTAAGACCGACTATCTCAAGGCAATCCTTGGTCTGCTTGTGTTGGTTATGAACCACCAACAGACATCGCGTGCCGTCGATCGCTTCAATGACAGAGTCTTCTTCAGACTCATGTCTAGTCTTCTCTGCGAGCTCTCAATGTTCAGAGCACACCTTGGTGATGACTACCAGGACCTTATCCTTGTCTTCGGTAAAGCTTTCTTGGCATTGCAGCCCAAGTTCTTCCCTATGTTTACCTTCTCTTGGTTGGCACTTATCAGCCACCGCATGTTCGTGCCCGAGATCATGAGATCGGCAGACAGAAAGGGTTGGGATATCTATCTTCAGCTTCTCCAGGTCTTGTTCAGCTTCCTTGGCGACTTGGTCAGTACTCAAGAGATCTCGGTACATGCAGCAGAGTTCTACCGCGGTGTCTTGCGTGTTCTCCTGATCCTGCAGCACGACTTCCCTGAGTTCCTTACCGAGAACCACATGCGCCTCAACAGCAGTGTGCCTGCTGGTTTGCTCCAGTTGCAGAACGTCATCAACTGTGCATACCCTTCATCCTTCCAAGAGCTGCCTGATCCTTTCACCCCAGGTCTCAAGATGAACCGTCTGGAACAAGTTCGCCAATTGCCACACCTTCGTGGCGGACTTGAGGACGTCTTGTCCGAAGCAGGTATCGACACCGCTGTTGAGAACTTGCTCCAAGGCAAGGATATCAAGGACGATGATATCAAGACCGTCATAGATGGCATTGAGACCGAAAGCAAGCCCGATGCTCTGGTCATCAACGCATTGGTTTTGCACATCGGCAACACTGCTACCGCTGGATCCTCGGTCTTCTCACCCTCAGCCACTCCCAGCAGAGTGATTGAGCGTTTACTGCACGAGTCGCGCCATGAAGTCCGATACCAACTGCTCAGCGCAATCACCAACCAGATCCGTTACCCCAACGCCCACACCCACTACTTTTCGACTGCATTGCTCCACCTCTTCACAGTTAGCTCTGAAGACCTCCAACAACAGGTCGCCAGAGTCTTGGTCGAGCGTGTCATGTCCTCCAGACCTCACCCTTGGGGTCTGCTGGTAACCGTGTTGGAACTTGTCAAGAACAACTCTTACAACATTTGGGAACTTGGCTGGATGAAGGCAGCACCCGAGGTTGAGAGAATGATGTTGAACGTTGCACACAGCTCAGGACTTGCTCAGAGTCCACGTGCCATGACCTAGATTTCGGGGGGAATCTGGTCAACACGTTTTGAGCATTAAGCACGCGAATGCAATACAGCAAGCTCTCTCAAGAACATCAATCTACATGTTTGCTTTGGGGAAAGCAGATTTGAATGTTTCAACATGATCTTGGGTCAGCATAAACCTGCGACATGATTTCACACACAGAGACGGCGTCTGGTCGGCCTTCATTCCTCTCACACAAGCTTTCTTTCTCTTTATATTCCATCTTTCGTGTATAATATTGGGGGACACCATCGATCGTACCAAAAACGGAGTGGTAGTTATTTCTTGGCTTGGGGGGTTTTATTTGAATCGCAAAAAAGAGCATTAGAAGGCGGACACAGGGGGAGTAGGCGCTCGTATATTTCAACACTACAGAGAAGATGGAAGCGTGGTTTTTAGAAGGAAGAAACTACGATGATGACAATGATTGAAATGCCAAATTCACATGTTCAAACAAAGCATCCCGACAGATCCGCATCATCATTGTTCAGTGACATTTTAGCTATGGTCGACTGGGCAGGGGTTGAGACAACCAACAGGCACCTCGGATAAGGGTGAGGCTGAGACGCCAAGAATGACGACAATTGGGGGAAATAACACCGCCAGGTAGTTGAGAGGCGAGGGTGGTGCGTAGTGCAGTCGCAATCGGACCATCGTCGCAACATTTGTGTTCTTTACCAGACCCTTTGGCTTGCGTTTCCCCTTGTCACAGCAGGTTACATTCACGGTCGTCTTCGTAACGCGTAGCGTAACCCTCGGAACGAATCTTAAAGCTTCATCGACGTAACGCAACTGCGCGCGACGCCAGCTTCCGTAATTTGGCAATTGCATTCAGCCCCTCATCCACCACCCACGTCGTCGTATCTCGTTGATCCATCCACCCCAAACAATCCACATCACTTCCACGCAACCCACACACCACACCATGGCAGAAGGCTCAGCTGTACCCACTGCCAGCAAGGGCTCTTGGGGTTCTTTCCTCAAGGTACATCAACTCCCTTTTTGTTTGGCGCATCTGCTTCGACTTTGTCCACTGACCTGCCGCCACAGTCGATAGCCTCTTTCAATGGCGACCTCTCATCTCTCACTGCCCCCGCCTTCATCCTGTCGACAACTTCACTCACAGAGTTCTCGGCATACTGGGCTGAGATGCCCTCAGTCTTGGTCGCTCCCGCCTCGGAACAAGACAAGCAGAAGCGCTGCATGCTCGTCCTCAAGTGGTTCCTGAGCACTCTCAAGCAACAGTACACCTCGCGTAACGAGAAGCTCGGTAGTGAGAAGAAGCCCCTCAACCCCTTCTTGGGTGAGCTGTTCTTGGGCAAGTGGGTTGACCAGGCCGGCACCACTGAGCTCGTCAGTGAGCAAGTCAGGTATGTACATGTCTGTCGCGTCAGATCAACTCTTCTCTAACCACAAGCGTAGCCACCACCCTCCCGTCACTGCATACAGCATCTGGAACAAGCAACACGGTGTCCGTCTCCAAGGATACAACGCCCAGAAGGCCTCGTTCGGTAGAACCATCAACGTCAAGCAGATTGGTCACGCCGTCCTACACATTGATCAGTTCGACGAGGACTACCTCATCACCCTCCCCGCTCTCCACATCGAAGGTCTCATTACTGGTTCGCCATACGTCGAGCTCGAGAAGAGCACACACATCGTTTCCTCCACTGGTTACACTTGCAAGATCGACTACAGCGGCAAGGGCTGGGTTAGCGGCAAGAAGAACTCTTTCACTGCCACAATGTACCCCAACGGACGCGAAAAGGAGGTCATCTACACCGCTGAGGGACAATGGAGCGGCAACTTCACCATCAAGGATGCTAACAAGAGAGTTGTCGACTCCTACGACGCCGCGAAAATGCAGAAGACTCCCCTGACAGTTGCACCTCTCGAAAAGCAGGACCCTCTCGAGTCGCGCCGCGCTTGGTCCAAGGTTGCTGATGCCATCAACCGTGGTGATATGGACACCACATCGACCGAGAAGTCGCTCATCGAGAACCAGCAGCGCGAGTTGCGCAAGAGGGAAAAGGAGCAGGGCTCCGAGTGGCAGCGTAGATTCTTCAACCGTGTGCCTAACAGTCCACGTTTCGACGCCATGATTCACCAGGTTCCTGGCGGCAGTCTTGAGGCCGAGAAGACAAACGGAGTTTGGGAGTTCGACCCTGCCAAGGCCAAGGCAGCAAACCCTGCCTACGACATCTAAAGAAAGCCGCAACGAGGATGTAAATAAAACAGATGGTCAAGAGGCCGTTGTAGCTGGCACCTAGGGAGAGCGCCGAGGACAGAGAAAGAGTTGAGGTATTTGGGCATCTGGTTCCTTTTTCGTTACGTGGCTATTGGGAAAGTCTTTGGGGGTGTTTTTCTTCTTTTTTTCCTTTACTGCCTCACCTTCTTCGTGTGCAACATCGAAGAAGCATTCTCATAAACAGAGTTACATCATCGTTGAATGCAAGCAGAAACCTACCAACGTACAAATTTGGGTCGTGTGATCGATAACCTTCGGCTATGGATAGAAAAATCGTCTCCAATATCGTGTGCGTGAAGAACAAAAGCGATTCATCGTAGAGTTCCCTCGGGCAGAGGGAAGGGCCACGCTAGACTTCTGCAATAAAATAAATCTTTGATCGAAGTCCGCAGCATCTCTCAACTTTACTCCTGCTGTCTCGTCAAAGCTTTGTTCGATCATGACAGATAAGAATGCTCTACTAGAACCTAGGAAGACGACAACGGGGGGCATGACTGTTCAGATTATTACTGGTAATATTTGGATTGTTCAATCCTACAGATTTATCAAAGTGACGTCCTCTTCATTAGATGTTGCGGCCGCCAGTGACACTGATGGTCTGTCCACTGACGTACGAAAAGTAAGGACTGACAACTCCGAGAATGGCACCAGCAGCCTCGGTAGCAGTACCAGGTCTTCCCAGAGGAATGTCCTTGTAAGCACCAGCACCTTCTTCTCTACCCTTCTTCTGCGCACCGGGGATTCCCAAAGCGACCTTTTCACCATCAGGCGTTGTCACAAAGGCACCTTCTTCCTTTGCAGCAGTAAGTCTGGTAGCAATGAAACCGAATGCTACAGTGTTGCAGCGCACACCGAATGCTGGACCCCACTCTTTGGCGATTGTCTTTGTAAGGCCGGTGACTGCGGCTTTTGCGGCTGCATAGTTTGCTTGGCCTGCGTTGCCGTGCAAGCCTGAGGTTGAGGAGATGTTGATGATGTTTCTGGGGGCCTTGTCTTTGACGCGGAAGTAAGGAGCGGCGTTGCGGATGAGCTTGAAGGGGGCGGAGACGTGGAGGGACATGATGGTGTCCCATTGTTTGTCTGTTGTCTGTGGTTTCTTATATCAGACAGAGATGTCATTTGGAGAAAGCGACAAGCATACCTTGTGGATGACACCGTCCCATGTGAAACCTGCATTGTTGACAATGATGTGAATCTTGCCCTCGCCAAACTCGGCGGTCTTTTCAACGAGAGTCTTGAGGTAGGCATCGTCTAGCATATCGCCAGGCACGGCCAATGCCTTGCCTCCATTGCTGTTGATAGAGTTGGCTACAGCAGATGCCTTCTCGCCATCAATGTCTGATACGACGACTTTGGCTCCCTCGTTGGCAAACAGGCGTGCGGTTTCTGCTCCAATGCCTTGGCCTGCTCCAGTCACGATGGCAACTTGGCCAGCAAGAAGACCACGAGGGTAGTTGAGGTGGGAGGCGACTTGAGCGATGCGGTCGTTGGGTGCCATGATTGCTGCTACGTTGGTATCGTACTAGGAGAAGATGCGAAGGACCGGGTACGTGATATAAGTTACTGTCGTCAGATGAGGAGACCTACATGTTCAACATGCCGAGGCTATTTCGGCCGGTCGTTGTTCAGGGACATGGTCGATGGTTATGTGAGTTACGAGGCTTCTTTCTTGTTCGGATTACATCGGGTCCTGGAAGACAAGCCGATTCTTCCAGTCAACTTGACCAACTATGCTTCTGCCAATGCATGTTGTTCCATCTCGAGGCTGAGAATGGGTGTTCTTGAACAGGATCCGAGGTCGGACAGAATTTGTGGGGAGAGCTGTCATGACGTCTGGCCAATGTTTGATCTGCCCAGACGACGACCACCTCTTTTGGTGAGAAACAGAGTTCAGGTTCAAATCATCTTCATAGTTCTTTGATAAACGAAAGAAACCTGACCTCTCACACCAAAAGACTTAAAAATCAATTGATGGTCGAGCCACTGGAACTCACGACAAGGAAATTGTTTGCACCTTCCGATTTCTAAGCACAGACGAATATTCTGGACCGGCCATCTCAAACACTTCTCTTCGCCTTCTCAGACCACGACTTGAAGGAAATCACGACTGACTGAAACACCTGCCCAAGAACACTCGAAGAACCTTTCATTTGTGGTCAACAATGGCAGGTCAGACCAACAAGGAAGCCGCGGATCTCTTCCGCGAGGCATATGCCAAATCCCAGGATGAGCAAGACCCGCTATCATCCTTCCGCGACCAATTCATCATCCCAACAATCTCAGACCTGCACTCCAAAACCCTCAAACCCTCCTCGCAGGATCAACCACAACAATGCACCTATCTCTGTGGCAACTCTTTAGGTCTTCAACCACGTCTCACTTCTCAATACCAACAAAATTACCTTCAAACCTGGGCGACTAAAGGTGTCTATGGTCACTTTACCGAGATTGAGGATTCAAAATTGCCGCCTTGGTTGCATGTTGATGATGATGTGATTGATGATGTTTGCGATATTGTGGGAGCGAAGAAGAATGAAGTCGCTGTTATGCAGACTTTGACTGCGAATTTGCATCTCGCTATGGCCAGTTTTTATCGTCCTACTGAGAAGAGGTGGAAGATCATGATTGAAGGAAAAGCGTTCCCGAGTGATCATTATGCCGTGGAATCACAACTTCTACACCACAGCAAGGATCCTGCTTCTTCGATGATCCTTCTCGAGCCAGAAAACTCAAATAACCCTATCCTGAGTACTCAACAGATCCTCGCCGCAATCGACGAGCACGCAGATGAAACAGCCCTCCTTCTGCTACCAGGAATCCAATTCTACACTGGCCAGTTCTTTGATATCCCTACCATCACCGCTCACGCACAGAAACAGGGCATACTTGTGGGTTGGGACCTTGCCCACGCAGCAGGAAACATGCCTCTCAAACTTCACGATTGGAACGTCGACTTCGCAGCTTGGTGCAGTTACAAGTATCTCAACTGCGGTCCAGGCAGTATTGGTGGACTTTTTGTCCACGAGCGCCATTCTAGAGTTTCTGCTGCTTCATCCTCTTCACAACCAGAGTACACACCTAGACTTAGTGGTTGGTGGGGTAGCGACAAGAGCAGCCGCTTCGCAATGGAAAACGTTTTCACGCCGATTGCAGGAGCAGGTGGCTGGCAACTCTCCAACCCATCGGTCGCAGATATGACAGCTCTCCGCGCCTCCCTAGACGTCTTCAACAAGACCTCTCTTGCAGCTCTCAGAAAGAAATCAGTCGCGCTAACCGGATATCTGGAGAAGCTGCTCCTTGCAAGCACGGATATTAAAGATTGCTTCTCTATCATCACACCTTCTGACCCCGAGCAGAGAGGTGCGCAATTATCACTTCGTCTTTCTCCTGGTCTCCTTGACAATGTCATGCACGTACTAGAGAAGAAGGGTGTGGTAGTGGATGAGAGAAGGCCAGACGTCATTCGTGTAGCTCCTGCGCCGCTCTACAATTCTTGGAGAGATGTGCTGAGATACGTACAAGTCTTCACAGAAGCTTGTAAAGAGGCTTCGGCTAAGAAAAGCAAGGAAACAGAAGGATCGGTCATGGTGGAAGGCGGAAAGGATGACAAAGGCTGGAGTGAGGTGAAATAGATGCATACCTGCACAATATTGTCTCCGCCACCTTCGCGAATGTCGATTCCATCGGAGGATATCTTATCTAGCCTTTGCTTTCTTCATGGACGGAAGTGGTATTGCTATTGCTAATATTAGTCACTTTCTCCGGCTATATGCAGCGTCCCTTCACGCACTTGAAATTCCGATAGCAGAATGCACCCGCACAAATAGAACGTTGCCCGTCCATGTATAGTGACGAATCACCGTAGTTCTATTTATCTTCGACACCCCGCACCTGAGGTATGGCTTCGGGTCAATATGCATGCGCATGTGCATATGCGCATACATCGGCCATCTCACATCCACATCTGTCCCGTCAAGGCTTGATTCGCGGCTTCCTTCCGACTCCTAACGTTGCGTCTGTTGCGCTCTGATGAATTTCGACTCTCTGAGCCAGATCTCCGGCGGACTAAGTTAGCTTGAGCTACGACATCACCTCAGGTTGCTTGCGACTAGCTAGCGACATTTAGAAGGTCATATATTAATCCAGTTCCAAAACTCATCCATACGATTTCCTTATGTTTTGGATGAGATCTCAGCGTGGCGTTTGCGGCTTTGGCCCTTCGTCCAATAGTGGTTGCCATGCTGTAGGTGGGTCATTCCAGTGCAGACAAGAAGTTGTTTTGCTACTAGATGCCTGATCGCAGCTCGGTACAGCCTTGCAGTGACTTGAAATTTGATCATGCAGGCGCGATGCTGCGCCATCAGAAGACGAGTCGCCTTGCACTAGATGCACCCATCCATCGCTCAAGGTACGTACTCAGATATGTCTCTGTTGTTGATAAGACCACGTCTCTGCGTTGCATCTTTCAGGATCACTCCGCATCTTCGAACAAATTCTTGCATCTTATCTTCCTCACATCATTCTCACAATGGCACATACAGCGAAATTCGAAGTGATTCGAACACAAGCAGTCGAGTCTGGAGAGACTTCGCTGAACAGCAACACCGAAACTGGAGACAAAGTCCTAGTCAAGCCTCAGGTCCTTTCGTGGTGGCAAGCAAGCAGAATAGTTGGAGCTGTCCTGGACATGCTTGCTATAGCTCTCTCTTGCGCATTCTTTGTGTACGCTCTCGCAGTCAAGATGCACCAAAATATGCCTATGGAGAGTCCCCAAGTCAAAATTTTGCTAAGATTGTCCAAATTGGTAGGTGTCTGAGCGTTGAGAAGGCATTTGGCTCTTCATCACCTCCCTTCGTGGAACATGGCTGACGAAGGCTTTTACAGGGCCCTACTATCTACCCAGTTCTTTTTGCCGCCCTTATTGGTAGAGCCTTGAAGTCGATCGCATTCTGGAAACTCCAAAGAGGCAGTAAAATTGGCACCCTCGATCGAGTCCTAGGCAGTATGACCATCGTCCAGACGGTTCTCACACAAGTTCAGATGAGATCTTTGAGCCTGTTGGGCTTTTTGCTCATAGTAATCTGGTCGCTCTCTCCGTTGGGCGGTCAAGCTTCGCTACGAATCATTCGCTCAAACTTGCAGGCAAACGATACCATATGGCGACTCCAGTATGTCAATACCAGCTCGAACGTGCTGACTGGTATCTACGAAGGTGCAGACACTGCTTCGCAGTTTGTGCCAGTCAACGCGCTCTTTGGCGCAGCCTTGGTTGGTGCGTCGTCGAGTTCATCGTCCTCTGTTGATGCGTGGGGTAATATCAAGATCCCCTGGATTGAGAGGTTGAACACCACGTGGGAAGATGCCGAGGGATGGTATCCAATACCACAGCTCGGCTCAAGCGATGAATACGCAGCCCTCATCGGACTTCCTCTATCCATAATCTCGGATTCGAGCAATTCCACGGACAACTTGACGACATCGTTCGACGTTGAAACATCTTACTGGACTCTTTCGTGTCCTGTGTTCGAAGACTTGGGTGACGGTCTTAATGCGACTGGCTATTACGATCCCATCGAGGAAGCGAATTTAACAAGGGCAATGACTCCATTCCTGGACCCTAGTGTGGAGTCAATCTACAACACAACTGTGCCTGGCTCAGGCCAAAACCTCGATTTGTACTCTGTGAGCATGTACGATTACAACCAATCCTGGGATTCTCCAGTCAACACTCGGCTGCGACACATTACCTACATGGAAAACAACAACGGTCCAGCCCATTGGGTGGCTGCTAATTGCACCATCAGAACGACGTACGTCGAAGTCAACGTATTCTGTGCAACAGGCAGCTGCACAGGGGTGAAGATGAGAAAATCACGTCGACCATGCTCGCCAGAAAGCTGGACGGTTTTTGACGTTGCCGGATCCGCATTCTATTGGTTCAGTCCACGTTTCGTGGGTGCTCTTCCAGCAGGTCATTCTGTAGTCGCGTCTCCGTATCAGAATTTCATCCTTAACCCGGAGAATCCATTTCCTACCTCTTTCAACGTACCGCCGGTCACAACGGTCTCGAATTCCACCTTTGCCTTACGGCTGGGTCAATTGCTCAACACATTCTGGATGGCGATGCTAGCACCGACGGCAGTCCCTAAAGGCCTTCGAAATTCAAATCTCACTGCGGATACGGCAGAGATAGGCACAGTACTATCGAACACAACAGTTACTGAGACACAGACTGAATTTGTGTTGGAGTGTGACACATTCTGGTTTGTGGTCTTGCTTCTATCGTCAGGCGTCACAGCTGTCATAGGTCTCTGCGGGTTGGTAGCAGCTATGTGTAGCCGCGGACCAGACATTTCGTTCAACATCTCCTCACTAATCAAAGACAGTCCATTCTTTGATCAAACCAACGTGGCAACTACACTCAGTGGCACAGACAGATCCGTACTAATGAAGGATTGGTATGCCAAGTACGGAGATGTCGCTGCTGAAGATGAGGTTGGGTATATTGCTATTGGAAGCGGAAATGTAGCAGATCTGCAGACAGGGCGCCTGTATAGGTGATTATACATAGTACTGTCTCTTTTCTTGTTGCCTTCTTGAATTGCAACTCAGAACAGAGTGCCATCACTAGACATCAGAATAGGACTGCAAGCATTGAGACTGGCCCTGTGCTGTTTTGCCAACTCTCTGCCGGCTTTCCATGTACCTGCCTCCAGAATTTGTGCTAGACTCAATGGCGAGATATCTGGACCACATCTCTGTGCGATCTTCTCGTTTACCATCTTTGCAACGATATCTAGCAAAACAACGGTCATTGCACGCCACTCCACTATCACGTCTCCAACCGCATCGTACTCTGGCAGTGTCTTGCCGCTCTGTTTCAGACCGGCTTCCAATACTTCTGGCTTCAAAGTCAGAACTTGCATATCGACGAACAAGCCGCCGTTTCTGTACTCGGGCAGACCGGTGAGGATATCCATGTTGATCCAGTCTTTTGATAGTAAACGCTGTATAGCCGAGGTCAAAGAGTAAGCAAGCCACTGTGTGAGCTTGTGAAATGGCTGGATGGGAAGAACTTGCTTGTCTGCAAGAACCTTGAGAGGCCAAGCGTCCCCGATGGCTACTCCGGCTACCGTCGTTCGGCCTTCTGGCCATGTTGGGATGAGTAGGTCTTGTAGCAGACTCCACAGCACTTTGAAGTCAAAAGCGTTATCAGTTGATCCGTTCTTCAGCATGTAGTCTGTATAGATTAGCATTGTGCTCGAGTAAGGCGAGAACTAGAGACTTACCGATGAGATGACCGGGCCTACAGCTCTCATCGACGTAGAACTTTTTGTTTGAGAGCAAGGACCGTCCAAGTCGTCGCAGTAATTCGGTCCTACTTTCCATTCCAAGCAGTGGATTCGAATCTGTACTTTGCATCGCAGCAGCTAGTTTCCCCGAATCAAGTTCCGCAAGCAGACGAGCTGGAAGGTGTCAGAGTTAGCATGTCCAAGAACATAGGGACAAGTGATACTGACCATCTACACAATATTTCCCGAAGATACCAGCTTTAAAGGCACTAAGACTAGCGACTGCAAGACCTTCACTACGGCCGATTTTGACATCGTTCTCCGTAAATGTCCAGTGATCGCCCGCTCCAGCATCAAGAAGGACGGAAACGACAATGACATCGATGACTCGGCGGGCAATCTCAATCTCGTCAACGCCAGCAGTTTTCCATTGCTCAATTAGTGAATCTAGTCGAGGAACATCTCCTGCATTGAAGTGTTGCCATCTGCCATGAGAGGGGATCTTGCTAAACATTTCCGGCTGCCAGTCTCGCTGTTGAAGTATTAGAATATGTAACTAAATCTGCTAAAACGTTCGTACCAATATCAGCGAGACGACATAGTCTGCGGCCGCATCCAGCTTTGTTGCATCGTATATGAAGTTGTTCAGACGACCATTGACAGCTGCATCGTAGACATGCTGAGCTTGCTCGCGAACGCTCTCGAGTGTAAGTAGATACTCGCGGTCAGATGAAGTCGACATTATGAAGACTGATTATACAAAATTGGATTTTCTGAGTATCTTCAAAAATGTGGTAACTGCTGGTTGCTCTTGTAATCAAAATGAGATGATGTTCTGGGACAATGGGCAGCTGCGGCTAAATAAGAAGCCGCAGTCCCGCAGCTGCACCGCATCTGCACCTGCCCGGCTTTGTGAACCATCTTCAGCTCATTTGCTACACACCATTCCATTAGCAATGTAGCAGACGAGACTCCAGCGCCTTTTGGAGATATATGGGGAGTGTCCGCGCTGTACGACCTCTTGGTCGAACTTCGTCAAGTCACCGTCAATTTCATCATGCATTCCACAACTACCACAACTCACATGGCCAGACCATCGGTCAACGTTATCACACACCCTAGCCTCAAGGCCAAACTCAAGCTACTCGAAGACAGAGCCACAATACCAGCTGCGGTTCGAAGCCTTGTCGCACAAGCTACTACCATACTCGCCGTCAATGCCACCTCCGATCTCGAAGCCGAGAGCTCTACCGTGCTCGTTCCTGTTATGCGCAGCGGACTTGCCATGGTAGACTCGTTCCTCGATGTCTTGACTCCTGCACACAAGGTTGCTGTGCACCATCTTGGTCTTTTTAGAGACCCGAGTACTCTCGAGGCTGTTGAGTACTACAACAACATCCCGGTTTCAGGCAATCCTGCCAAGTACGCATTCGTTGTGGATCCTCTTGTTGCGACAGGAGCCAGTGTCTGTGCAGCAATTGACAGTCTCAAGTACGTTATCAGACTCAAAAACATCAGTAAATTACTCGATGCTAACTTTATCAGGCGTTGGAAAGTTGAGAATATCATTGTGGTCGCTTTGCTAGCGACCAATGAAGCAATTGAGCGAGTCAAGAAGCACTACGGCGATGGTGTGCAATTCTTTGTTGGAGATATCCAAGCTCTGGACTCAAATGGTCGGATCACGCCAGGCGTGGGTGATATGGGTGACAGACTGTACTTCTAGTTGGTATAGTCATGACTGTCTGCTTAGATGAACACCTCTTTCTTCGGTTGTCATATCAGGATTCACGTAGCGTCAAATCATGACTGAGCAGTAAAGCACAATGGAAAAATCCAATGACAATTTCCATCACCATCAATATTACTGTTCGGGGCCCGGCAGAATTGCTCAAGGTCATGGGGAACCGAGAACAAGTTGTGTTTTGGCACTCTTACCGCCACGAGGACATCTGAATGGTCTGATTGCTGCATGAGAAACGGTCAGCAGATGAGCCCGTTTCAGGACGTGTTTCGGCCTATCTATCCAAGCAATTGGAAGGTGCTTATCGATGCGGGTATATGACAATTGCGGTCGGGAAGCCTTCAACCACTCACACCCGCAACTGCCCTCTTCAGCCGCAGTCCGAACCGCAAGCCCGCACCTTCCGGATCGACCACCTCGGACATCAAAGCAAAGGTTACATAAATACACTTAGCTCGCAGGACTGTTGTCAGACATATTGGCTTTTTGCTCAAAGGCATTTTTCGTATTACTACTTCGATACTTACTTCGATCATAGACTAGAAAACATGGCACCAACACAAGTACTTATCCAACCACCATCAGTCCTCGGTGAAGAGACGACTAAGATTACAGTGCGTGTCTTTCATGCTCTTGTGTGAAATTGCAATATCTAACACTTATAGTAGCTCACCACATACCCAAGATCAAGCGGTGTCGCACCAGTACCACTAAACTGGGGTGCATCGACACCAACAGAAAGAGGACCAATTCTTGTATCACGAAGTGGTGATTCTCTTTTCTACCGCAATGCCATCGGAGCTCACGGCGGATCTTACTCAGTCTACAACGCACTTGCCATTGCATCAGGGGATCTACCGCGAGACTTCAGACCCAACTTCAACAATACTCAGCCCACATTTGACTTTGCCCAACAAGCAGCATGGAGCGATAAGAAGAAGATTGTTGCCATGGATCCTTATGGCCACATCGTCTCAAATGCATTCGCTTCAGACATCAAGCAAGGAAAGGACGTCCGTCCGACAATCGCCATTACCCGCGCGACTATGAGAGTGGCTGAAATCTCAGAGGCTGTCTCGAAAGGCGTACTTCCAGTAGATGGCGATATCGTGCTCAACTCTTTCGGCGACGTGAAAGTCACAAAGGTCGCTGTTGAGCCAGTTTGGTATCTGCCTGGTGTTGCCGAGCGTTTCGGAGTCACGGAGAACCACCTGCGTCGAACACTTTTCGAGCAGATGGGCGGAAGTTATCCTGAGCTCATTACTCGTCCTGATCTTAAGGTCTTCCTTCCTCCTATTGGCGGCCTGACTGTATACATATTTGGCCCTCCGGAACGCGTATCTGATCCGAGCGTCAAACTCGCCCTGCGCATTCATGACGAGTAAGTTACATTGGAAAGAACCACCGCTATCGGGGCTTCATGCTAATCGTACCTTCCCTCTAGGTGTAACGGAAGTGACGTTTTCCAATCTGACATTTGCACTTGCCGACCGTACCTCGCATTCGGCATCCAAGAAGCCATCCGAGAAGCACAAAACGGCGGCAGTGGTCTTGCCATCTACTTCCGCAAGGAAGGTCGTGCTCTGGGTGAAGTCGTCAAGTATCTAGTCTACAATGCCAGAAAACGTGGTGGCGACACAGCAGACAAGTATTTCCAGCGAACAGAAAACATCGCAGGTGTGCGCGACATGCGTTTCCAAGCCTTGATGCCGGATATCCTGCACTGGCTGGGCGTCAGCAAGATTGACAGAATGCTGTCCATGTCAAACATGAAGTACGATGCCATCGTCAATTCTGGCATTCCTATTCTCGAACGAGTGCCAATCCCCGATGGTAATACTGCTGCACTTCGTCAACGATCCATGGACTAACAGACTTTACAGATCTCATTCCAGAAGATTCGCGTGTCGAGATTGATGCAAAGATCAACGCTGGCTACTTCACCACTGGCAAGCAGTTCACTGAGGCTGAGCTCAAGCAAGTCAAGGGCCGTGGTTGGGAGAAGTGGGAGGATGTCGTGGTAAGCCACACTTCACCATGCAAAGCTCCTAAAATAAATGACTGACGAAAGACGCAGCATTAAACACCATCGCATTCATGTTGTGCTGTGAGGAGAGATTCAGGGCATGGAGTTGATCAGGCATTGGCTAAGGCATTAGGAGCTCTGGGAGACATTGCAAGGCAGTTAGCGTGTATTGAAACGTGCCTCAGGCGGCGACACCTCTTCCTTCGCTGGTCCAATCAAACTTTTGTAACAAGCGCCTCCGCTGAAGTGCATTTTCTTGCGTGTCGCAAGGGACTCTACCCTGCATCTCCATTTTTGCCGCACGCAATACCGTCAACATAGCGATCTGTGGGACACAAGTCAGCTGGTTGCTCTGAAAGGCTGATGTAATCTACTTACAGAATACTCGCTAGGTATCTGGGAGATGCAGATCTCATGGGCGCGAATAAAGGTGTCACAGGCAGTGATAACCCGATCATTGATCTTCTGCTTCACACGATCTACCACGAGAATCAAGGGTAGACTGACGTGGAACAAGTAGATCCCGAGATAGAATGGCATGAACCGTAGACCTGGATCAAGGTCGAACAATTCGCGCATCGGAGTCGCAGCTTCTATAGCGTGCTTTACCACGTTCTTGAAGCCTGTCGAGCCTAGCCAGTTGTCTTGTTGATTCAGCAGTGTCAAAGGATCCCATTTACCCTCGAGGATGATGTGAAACACAGGTATCAAGAATTCGGCATAAGCAAACACGACCGCGCTGCGAGGATCTTGATATCTGGGTTCTTGCATGGGAGACCTGTCCGTTGTTTGTGAGCCATCGCTTTCCGCTCTCTGAGATCTTTCGGCAGAATCTCTCATGGTTGAGATACCGTTTTTGTAATCGTCCAGCTTTTCTCGGATGGCAGATCTCCAGTTCGACCAGTCGTTGGTCGTATGTACAGAGATGCCAAATCTAGGATGATTTTGAGCTAGTGTGAAATACACAGTCTCGCCCAAAAGAGCCATCAGAGGCGTGAAAAACTGGAAGAAGTCGGTCCCTGTACAATAATACCAAGGTCCATGGCCGACTGTATCTTCAAATTGCTCTTCTCCACTCTGCCATGAAAGCTCCGAGATTGGCCTTTCCAGGCTCGAGCATTCGGAGTCAAGAAGTGAGAGCGGCTTATTGAAGAAGAAGGAGATATGTCTGTCCATGCTATAGAGGAAGTACCAGACGCGCTTTCTTTCCTCAGCCAGAGGGGTTTTCTTGCCAGAAAGCTCACGGGCTACATTACGCGTATCATTGATAGGACTCTCTTGGGCAGAGTATATGGCATCTTCTGGTCCATAGCCATCATGATCGAGCAACGGCTGGTGGAGATCTATCTCTCTGGCTAATGAGAAAGCCATATTCCACCATCGGAGGCTCGCACGGGTGAATGCGCTCGCCGAGGTGACCATGGCAAGATGAACGTAGGCCATACACTCGTCAAGATACTGAGAGGATGTTCCACCAGGGCTCACGTCGTTCAGGCCTTCATAACCACTAAAGGCCATCTCACTCAGAGGCTTGAGCAGATTGGTGACAAGTTGTAGCAGCTTCCTTCGAATATATTTACGCTTACCAGAGCTGGAGCTCAGCAAGGGTATATCTGCATTCTGAGCAGAAAGCCACAGCATACTCGCCAGAAGCACTTTACTCGTCCGTCGCGGATTGATCTGAGTAAGGAACGAATGCTTTTGGAAAACTGAACACGGAACGAACAGATTTTTTGGCGCACCATGAAGTGACCAAAGCTCAAAATAGGCCTCGAGAAGACTGTACGACAGGGCGTCCGGCATGAATTCACGAAGCATTGGTAGCAGAGGGTTCAAGACTGGGTAATGAAACTCTTGGGAAGTATGGCGAGTCGCAAGCGGTCTCTCATGAGTTCGGGTTGATACATCACTGATCTGACGCTCTCTACCAGACATTGTTGGCCTGGTATGCTGCTGCGCTGGTGAAAATGTGTCACTCAAGCTTTGGTTGTAGCCGCGCGTTGCTGGAACATTATTCGCCAGATTCCTATTCAAGGTGAGGTTCGGGGATGAGAAGTTGTGGCTAGGAGCACCAGGTCGTCCGGCAGGCCATGTCGAGAGTTGCTGATGCGTAGTCGTTGCTCCAATGGTCTCGCTTGTCAAATCATCAAGATCTTCGAACACAGCTTCGAATGCATCCAGGCTCCAAGCGTCTGGCATCTGAAAATCGATAGCCGCAGTTGAATTGCCCGATACATTGTCAGCGCCAATGCCAAAAGAGGTGGTGCTCTCTGCTTGATTGAGGCTACCCGGAGGGTAGTCTTTGGTCACACCATTGCCACGTTGTGCAGACGGGTCATTTATTTGTGCAAGTCTCTCAGATCTGGTTGGATTTCGTGGTCGCTCAGTATTGGCTGCCAGAAGCCCGGACCTTCCACGACGCCTTTGCAACCTTCGATACTCGCAATTGCGCTGCGTACCTGGATGAGTATCAGCATAGCACTCTTGGGTAATGCAGCTCTGTAAATATGTAACTCACGTGAACAATAGCCGCAGGGCTGCTTTCCATCACATCTTCTCCGGGACTGGTTGCAATGGTCGCAAGCTCGACTTACACGCCGCCGGGAAATTGCCTCATCCTCGGTACGTCTCTCATCGCCTCCGGTGTCACTTGGGTGCGATGTCATGCCTTGGTCGCGAGCCGCAATTTCCTGGTTCCGCAGTCAAGAACTGCGGTATCCGGGTCACAGAGGGTTGTGTCTGACTGATAGACGTGCGGCAAAGTAGTGCGGGAAACACGAAGATAAGATCCGCAAGCCGCAGCAGGACTGATTAGGTCAGCTTCTCTCCTGTACAGAAGATGCGATGGACGACTCTCGGTGAAACCAGCTCTTAGCCAATTCAACTTCTGCAGCCATCTTCTCACGCTGATTATCAAGTAAACGGAGACGAGACATGATACCGCAACATCATCGAGACGTGAACAATGCAGATGGCTGGGTCATGCAACTGAGGACGAAGCAGTTACGTAAAATGTGAGGGGTCAAATCGCGGGGAAAGAGCTGCGGCTTCTTTGCGGAAGTTCAACCCACAGCCGCATTCAACACCAAGATAGACGATATCCGGACTTTATCTTTTGTTTGCTACCATACAATGACGCCTAGATTGCGGCTCGACATATCTACAGCTCAGCCATACTGGCTAGAAACTAAAGTATCGCTGTGTCGCGTGTCCAAGATTCGTTCAACTTTGTTCTACAACCTGCATCAGAAATTAACTCCTCAAGCTTCATCTAATTCAACGTCACTATGAGTGTCACTGTCACGACTCCTCCTTCTGTTGATTCCAAACCACTTGTGTACAAGTTGAATACTAGAGACCACGACTCATATAAAGAAGAGTCAAACAATCTTTACCTCTTGCCGAACAGCAATTATCTTCTTAGCAATCTCACCATCATCCGGGACAGGACGACATCCTCACCTGACCTGTCTAGAGCATTCCAACGAGTAGCAACTCAGATCATCGCCAAAGGTGAGCTCATTCATGGCGGTCAGGCACGGTAAAGTGATGCTAATTCACGCCTGAAGCATGCGACTTCTTGCCTGTCGATGAATATGAGGGCATCACACCAACAACTTCAGCCTTCACAGGCGTACGACAAACCACCAAAGTCTGCGGTGTTAGCATCCTGCGTGCCGGTGCGAGTTTCGAAGAGCCACTTCGGCAGGCATACAGGTGTGTCCGCCGTAAGTTGCCATTTTGGCGGCTCTAACACACCTATAGTGGACCATTGAGCTTTGGCAAGATATTGATCCAGAGAGATGAAGAGACGTGCTTACCAGCACTTTTGTATTCGAAGTTTCCATCCGACCTAGCTGAGCAAGGTAGTACAGCAATTTTTCGTTGTGGCTACGTTCTCCTGGCTGACACAATGGGTAGCCGTCTTGATTCTGGAACCCATACTCGCGACCGGCGGCTCAATCTGCACAGCTATCGACCTCCTCCTCAGCAAGGGCGTCCCTGAAGATAGAATCATAGTCGCAAACCTGATCACTTCACGGAAAGCGACACAGATTGTCTCCGAGAAGTATCCCAAGTTACGCATTGTAACAGCAGCAATTGACGAGAAACTCAATGCGAAGAGGTAAGTTATGTCAATACATCCGGCTTCGAAAAGAGCTAATAGGGTTGCAGTCAACTAGAGCCAGGAGTAGGCGACTTCGGAGATCGCTTCTACGGTACGACATAAAACCCAGAATTCGGTATTAATTCTTCGCCTGCGCACTATGATCCCATAACAAGTGACATCGGTAGCACGTCTCCGGCTGGCGGCCAGCAGGACTTGAGCTCGAGGCATGATTATTGTCGACTTGCACGCTCTGCAACATCGCCTTCTGCAAGCCATTGACTTGCGATAACCAATTGCTGTATGTTGATGTATTGCTTTATGGACATTGGTAACACAGACAACCACATGAGTACTTCTGGGATGGAACTATCAATCTTGTTCGCCCTGGGCGGAAGCAGATGTCAGCATTTATATGAGAATCTGACATTTTTTACTTACCGAGCAATCTCCATGGCTCCTGCCGACCAAGGCGCGTTTTGTGTGATCATTCTCATCTGTGTTGACGCTAGCGGAGTATCTTGATCAGTGAAGGCCAGAAGGTACAAAGCAATGAAGAAAAGCTCATTCATTAAACAGAGAGTGAAGAGAACAGCCTGGTCACGTCAGCTCAGATTCATGGCCGATGGTGCCATTGTCACCACTTACCTTGTTCGAGTAGTACAGGTGTAATAACCAACTTCTCTCAGGATCGACCTTTTTGTGACTTTGCCCACTCCCACCCATACTGAGCGTAGCATACATGTGCATATAATGGCTCGCTAAATCAAGACTGATCAGTAGCTGGAACAACATAGCCCATCTTGGCATTGCCGTAGCTAGGAACACAAGCAAACAAGTAGTTGTGCATCGGTCGGTGACCATATCAAGCACAGCGCCGAATCTTGTGCCTTGGTCCAGTCTTCGAGCTGCCCAGCCATCTAGTGCATCTAGAATGCACGAGATTGCATAAATAGCGCTGCAACGACGAGGGTGAACTGGCATGAAGTAGAGGGACACCACGGCGAGAATGACTCGTGTATAGCCTGAAGCCACCCCTCAGTTTCACGAAGCCTCATTCTGATGTCCGACATACCTATGAGATTCGGCGCGAACAAAAAGATGTTTTCTCGTATATTGCCGGCACGTCTTGGCGCTATGCGATCAGGTGTGTCGGTCTGCATGTCAGCGACTCTCTGTCGAAGAGCATAGGGATTCATTGCAAGCGATGATCAATCGGGAGTGTCAACTGATGAAGGTGACAACAATCAGGAGACGAGTAGTGAAATTGTTGCTGCCTAGCCAAGACGTCATTCACAGCTCGGCCGTAAGAGACAGTGGTCCACGTCTTAGTATTTGTGCAATTTGTGCCCAGTCTGGGTATGTCACACAAGTGGCTATACTCATAAGGCATAAAGAAAATCAATGTTAGCTTGTATGGTCCTGAACAAGCAGTGGTGTTTTTGGTTTTCAAATACTCGTCTTTCCGCCCAGACAATTCAAATCCTATGTTCAAGATAGACAAACTTTTTGCTAGTTATACTATCCTTGAGCGAGATCAAGATCCTCTTGACGCTGGCATCTTGGTCATTGGCAGGATGTCTGCTTCCTTGGCCTTTTTCTCGTTGATCTTCGCATAGGCATATACCAGACCGCTCACAAATCCAAGAGCAATGGCAGTGCATCCACCTAGGGTGACAGGATTGCCAAAGAACAACAGACCGCTGATCGCCAAAGGTAGCTTGTTCAGAGCACCAACCATAGAGTACGTTGTTGAGCCAGTGACACGTACACACCAAGCGGATGTATACGAGATGAAGACTGAGGACAACCCAGAGATGATCATTGCACTGATCACCCACGTGCGATTGTCAGCTGGGAAATTCAGAGCAACATTGGCCGATGACCAGTCCTCGAACAGCAGCGAAAACACCAGAAGAATAGGAATACTCAAGAGGTTGTTGTAATACATGGCTACCAACCTGGTCAGCGAATTTTGATCGTTTCTTCTGGGATATCACTTACTGTCGAAGTCCTTGAAGTTGGTCACCTTGATGCGAACCTTCATAGCCAGAACAAAGACGGCGTTGCAGACACAGTTGAATGCCATCCAGACATAGCCTGGGTTGAACATAGAGAGCAAGCCGCCATCACTTGCGGTTCCAGTAGGTTGAGCCGGTGTCTTCACATCAGCCCATGCCGCCACTCCTGAGCTCAATACCATCAAGCCGAACGACATCAGCGCCATGCGTGTCACTGAACCGCCGAAACAAAGCACTTCGCCGTAGGCAATGCAGATGATGGTCAAATTCTTGAAGATGGTGTAGACCGGGATAGTGAGATATGCAAGGGCTTTGGAACCTGTGTAGATCATGCCGACCAAAAGTGCAGAAATTGGGAACCATTTCTTGGCTTGATCCATGTTGAACTCGCGGTATGTGATTAGACCTCCACGTTTGCAGCTTTCGATTGTGACAAGACAAATCAGACTCTACGCAAAATCAGCACCATACCTGTCATCATTATGTAGACACAACGCACCTGAACACAGAGGAGGAAGAAGTTCAAATTGAAGTCTCGCCCGCCGAGAACATATTTGTTTGTTACAGTCATCAGAATCGAGCTTCCGCAGTAAGACAGAATAGCGACCATTGGTGAGTTGGCCAAACTAGAATTTGTCTTCTTTGACTCCACGGCTGATGCATTGTTGTAGTTTTCCTCATCTTCCTCATTAGGGACTTTCGCATAAGACTGATTGGCAGCCATTGTGGAAAGCTTCGGCTTTGATGGTGCAAGATGAGGCTTGAAAATGCCAAAAGTCAGAAGAAGCTTTTGTGTTACAGAATCCGATGAAAGGGATGAGCAACGTCGTTCGCGATAAGGAGATTGCGCAGCACTCCTGTCAGGGGTTGAGATGATGCTGCAACTGCCCGCTTCGGCAGAATGAGGCTGAGCCACCTTGCAACTTGCCGCGTAAGCCATGCTTATCTAATCTGATCTTAGCTGTAGCCGGAGTGACCCTGCGGATTCGAGTGCATAATTCACCATCTGAAACGGTACTGCTATATTTTTCTCGTGACTTCAAAGTAAGCTAAAGGAAAAGACGCCCGGTAAGAAATAGAAGTGGCCAAGAATCTTGGGATGCGATGTAAGGTGATGTTCGCTGGAACTATTCAGTTTATGTCATTTCAACACGCGAAGTGATTGTTGACCTTTTGCTCACAACTATCTTCTGCTTCTGGTGGTTGGAACAGACTCGCAGCCGTCAAAGCCATGACGAAGAACGGAATCTATCTGGTCGACGACTTTACCAGATACTTTGGACCTTTGCAGAATGCTAGAACGGTAAGTTCTGATATGGAAGTTCTGGTTCACATCTCTAATCACGCCACATGCAGACCTACGATTCTCAGTTGGCACAGTAGTTTCTATGGCAGCGGCAACATCTGATCCCAAAAATGAGATCATTGTTGCGTCGTGTCAATTGTCTCTGGAAAATGCAAAAAGGATGTTGTCCTACTTAGGAAAGGAGGACAAAAGTTAAGCTCTCCATCAGGGAATCGAACCCTGGTCTCCCGCGCTTGACGAGATTACTCTTGACAAGCGGAAATCATGACCACTAGACCAATGAAGATGAGCCAGCTGAGCTGGAATTGGTTTATGTGCAACTTGTCATCATGACAATCTATATACTCTTGTTGTTATGACTGCCCGCCTCGCCATACTCAGGTGATTCGAAGCCTGCGGTCGCTGTGGCAGGTATCGTGGCTCCCAGTCGTTCAACAGGTTTGGCTTCACGACGTTCCAAATTCCTAGCTTGATGCGACATGATTCCTAGTGGTTGGGCGGCATTGATTCGACAGCCGTAAGATGCGGCTGCCAAGCTGCATGTTGATGTTCAAGAATGACTGAGAAATTCCTCCGAGGAGGAAGGACCGACGGAGGCGCTTCCGATATGCTCGGAATTGTCGGCACTGATGTCATTAAAGCTTTTCTTGCGATGCCAACGGCGACATTAAACCTCTTTCGTTCCAAGGCCCCTGGCGGCAGTGCTGAAAAAGGGCGAGGCCGGCTTCGATTCAACGGCATGGCTTCCAGACCTCGTCATCGCTGGCTAGTGACAATTTCGATTCAGAAACTGCACGTGGAAATCGCATCTGGGTTTGTCGTTTCATGCGCAAACATTCTGCCATCCACTTTTGCATGCAGGTCCTGCTGCACCTTCGCGAGCGTCTCATGCTGCGGTGATGCGACCAGAGGTTGAGGTACTGCTACTCGTCCTACCATTCGTTCCTCAACGTCCATGTCGAGTCCTTCACACGTCCCAAGGCTCGCCGACGTAGGCATCCTTGAGCTCTTACAAAATGACGATCGCCCGACCTTCGTTCTTGGACCATCGGCTACGCTAACCACATCACAATACGAGCAAGAGATTGTGTTCACGAACATCGCCCTTGATACCTTTTTAGCTGAACATGCACAACCGGGTGCTTTCGACTCTTGGTCCCGAGCGTTGATCGAAAGTCCAAAAGAGCGTGGCAGGACATGGACATTTTCTGGAAGAGCCTGGACAAGCACACTGGTTGGGGGCATATGGCGAATAGTGTACTGTGCCCAACAAACGATTATTACGGATGCGAACCCGAAGCCTGAGCCCGGTAACGAACTACAGCATGATGGTCGTGTGAGCAGGCGAAAGCCTCTGTCATGGGACGCACCTCCACCGCCGCCGTCATGGGATGTTCTCACACCTCCACCGCCGGCAGGATTAACGCCCAAGGTTCTGGACTGGACGAAGTTTGATGTACCGGATCTCCCTCCGCACGTTCAGTTTATCAAAAACTTCGATTGGGCTTCAACACCGATAGGTCCTATCAACAAGTGGCCGGGTCACTTGAGTGCCTTTGTCATTAGTATCTGCACAAATCCTGATCCACGCATCATAGTATGGGGCGAGAAGCTCACCATGATCTACAACGAAGCTTGCGCCTCCTTAATTGGTGAAAAGCATCCTTACGCCATGGGAAGGAGTTGCTCCGAGATACAAGCAGAGATATGGCCGCAGATGTCGACGCTGTTCCAACCCGCACTTCTGGAGGGCAAAGCGATTAAATCTACCAAAGAGCTCTCGTTCCAAGAAAGGAATGGCCTCCTTGAAGAGACCTACTGGAACTTCATCATCTTCCCAATCATTGGTGAGGATGGTTATGCTATGGGCGCAATACATTCCTTGGTAGAGTTGAGTTCGCTTGTCATCAACGAACGCAGAGCAACTGTGGTTGAGAAGACGAAGGAGCGGGTTTCCACCAGTACAACCATATCTGAAATTTGGACCCAATGTCTAGCTTCTCTTGAGGCGTACCCAGAGGACGTTCCTTTTGCACTAATCTACTCCAACGACGATGACAGCATCTCGTCAGCTTCCAGCTCCTGGGCGAACTCTCTGAAGAAATATCAACTTCATGGTTCTCTCGGTATCAATCAGAATAATTCTGCAATACCCAGTACATTCGACCTAACTGAAAGCAAATCAGTCTATGGTTTGGCCAGGGCTTGTCGAAGCGCTGTCATTGACAAAACGACAGTTATCCTGCGCCGTCGTGACAACACATTGCCTGCCGACCTTGCAACAGCAATACCTGGTCGAGGTTGGGAGGATCCGGTCGAAACGGTTTGCGTGATGCCGATTGCTTTAAATGGCGCTGGCGCTCTGGCTTTCTTCATACTTGGACTTAATCCTCGAAGGCCGTTTAACGAAGACTCTCTGCAGTTTGCGCACAATCTTCGTGATGTGCTTACGAAGTCCACCTCGCTTCTCAGTCAAGCCAAGTTTGAGGAAATCCATGACAACCTCTCGGCGCAATTGAAGATAAGCACTTTGAAAGCAGCGCGCAACGAGGAAAAGTTCACTCGCATGGCTGAGACAGCACCAATAGGAATATGTACCCTGGCACCTGACGGCAAACCCATTTATTGTAACGACGAATATCTCAGACTTGTTGGCACGCCACGAGAGTACGACTGGCAGGCAATCTGGGATTCTCAAGCAAAATGGCAAGAGCATGTCCATCCCGATGACATACATGGTATCGCGGTAGCCTGGAAGACACTTTTGGCCAAGGAGAAGACCTCAGTGAATGTTGAGTACAGAGTCACGAGGCCTTGGACTTCTGTGGACAAAGCCACTGGTAGTCAACTTACCGGTCCGACATGGCTGATGAACTATGCGGCAGCGGAATATGATGAAAACGGTGATGTAATCTTTATTCATGCCTGGCTGCATGAAACCTCCTTCAGACATTACACAGAAACTCTGTTGTCCAATCGCCTGCAGGAAGCACTGGAGACAAAGCGTGCTTCCGAAAACTTCATCGACATGGTCTCTCATGAGCTCCGAAACCCTCTTTCAGCAATTTTGCAATCAGCAGATGGTATAATAACAGGTCTTGACGACCAGGAAGCACGGAAGAAGAAAGGCACCGAAATGCTCGACGGAGTTCTTGAAGCAGCTCAGACCATCATTCTGTGCGCCCAACATCAGAAATGCATTGTAAGTCCTTCTGATCTTGATAGACAGTCTGCTTTCTAGTCGTCGCACTTCCCGAAAGTGATTTGAGTTTTTGCAACTTTGAGGACATACTAGTAGGGTTGAGATCTGCTTGGAGAAGATGATGCTAATTCTGTAACGTCATTAGGTTGATGACATCTTGTGCCTTTCGAAGCTCGACTCAAATCTTCTGGTCATCACCCCGGATAAGGTCTCGCCACCACAATTGATAGGCAAAGTCCTCAAAATGTATGAAGCCGAGCTCGCAAGAGCATCGGTTCTAGGTAAGATGGAGGTCGAACAGAGCTACCATGACATCCTGAACTCTCGTCATGCAATGTTGGATCCGAGTCGCCTACTCCAGGTGATCATAAACTTGCTCACGAACGCGATCAAATTCACCCAATTCTCCGAGAAACGTGGGTTGACAATATACCTTGGAGCCTCGTATGAAAGACCAACTGGAGCCCGTCACAATCTAGCTTTCATCAAACCCCGTAACGCGCGACACGAGCACTCGGTACCTCTATCTTCTGAATGGGGTCAGGGCGAAGATGTATATTTACAGATTGCTGTTCAAGATACAGGGAGAGGACTTAGCGAGGAGGAGATGAGTCTCCTGTTCCAACGCTTCTCCCAAGCCAGCCCAAAGACTTACAAACAGTACGGAGGAAGCGGTCTAGGGTTATTCATTAGTCGAGAACTGTGCGAGTTACAAGGTGGCCAGATCGGTGTCAGTAGCCCTGGGCCGGGACAGGGAACCACCTTTGCTTTCTATGTCCGTGCTCGACGATGTCCCCAAGAAGCGACTTCCACTCCGGAGTCGCCCGTTGCTTTACAACACGTCTGGAACACACCGGTCACTGGTTCGACAGCTATGCCACAGCCTCACGATTTCGGTGGCGTCAAAAATATTCGCCCCTCCGCTCCAATACGCACACGTTCGTCCACAAATACACGGACACCGTCAAAACCAGCTACATCTGATAGACCATTGCATGTACTCGTCGTTGAAGACAACTTGATCAACCAGCGAGTCATGGCCCAACAGCTTCGAAAGCAAGGCTGTATCGTTCATATCGCCAACCACGGACTCGAAGCACTCACTTTCCTTGGCACTTCCGCCTTCTCTTCAGCAAACCCTTTGACGCCTCTGGACGTAGTACTCATGGATCAAGAAATGCCAGTCATGGACGGCATCACCTGCGTAAGAGAGATTCGAGCTCGAGAGGCGACTCAAGAGTTCAATGGACATGTACCGGTCATTGCTGTTACAGCCAACGCGAGGAGCGAGCAGATCACGGTCATGATGCAAGCTGGCATGGACTCAGTGGTAACAAAACCCTTCAGAATCCCTGAGCTTGTGCCACAAATGCGGAAACTAGCCGAAAATACTAACCCATCTCAATCGACCGATGGTGAGGGTGATGACACCAAAGAACGACCTCCAATACCTCCCGAGCCGCAGGATTCGGGAAACGCAACTGTGGTTCCAGAGCGTCCCAAAGTGACCACAAAAATATCCTCGACATGGGAGAAGGTCAAGGGCGACCAAGCATCAAACTGGTACTGTTGTCCACTGAGTGGACCGTCGCGAGAGCAGAGTTGCTCGATTATGTTCATCACAGTCGCTACCGATATCTTTCAAGACATGGATACAGATTCATGATGTGGTAAGAGTGCTGGAAACTCTTCCTATCAAATGGCAGATTATATATTCTATGTTATCCTTCCCATATGCAAATGCCGTGCGCCTTTTCTAATGTTACTCTATAGTCAAATCACCATGTCGTTGCTTCGTCAAGTGAGTTTCGTGGTAGAGTTGAGCATGTGTAGAGGGACCTGAACTTCTCCATCGCTTCCATCACTTTCTACACTCACTTCCGCTTCCTTGATCGTCTTGTCTTGCTTGTTGGACCGCCAGATGTAGAACCTTGCTGCGAAGAACAGGACTGCAAGTACAGCAACCACAACAGCATAGGGAATATTGTACTGCGATCGCTGGCCCACGACAGTACCTAGGGGCGCGTTGATGATGCCCAGAACTAAGATCGCTGGACCCAGGTACAAATGGATCTTGCCGAGTTTGGTCGATCTGCGTGTGCGTTTGAAGATGACGTGGTGCACAGTACCAAGGATCAACTGGATAGCCACGCCAGCGAACACAATCAGACCAATGATCTGATGAGCGGTGTTATAGTTCTTCGTCTTGAAGAGGAAAACGTCAGCAATAGCACTATACGATTTGAGACTTGGACTTACCCTGTTGTATTCCATCGAGATGTAGATGCCAGTTCCCAAGCCCACGATGACAAGGATGGTTGCTGCCAGCTGAACCATGTAGTGAACTCTGACACTGACAAAGCGCAAAAGCAGTGCTCCGAGAGGGAACACAATAACGAAGGCAAGACACATGACAACAGCATGTATAGCACTTCCAACGTCATAATCGCTCGAGACGCCATAAGCTTCAGACGCATCACTGCGGACCCATGCGCCATCCTCGCCATTGGGTGTAGGTGCAGAATCTGATACTGCCTTTGTCATGTCCATGGTGAAGCGTCCGTAGACGACATGTCTCTGTATCGTGGCTGATGGCGAACCTCCATTTGAGCGGGAAAGTTTCGGGCCAAGAGCGAAGATGAAAGGTTGCTTGCTCGAGCTCATGTCAATGTGATTGTGCATCCAGGACGAACTATTCTGATAGTGTGCATCCACAACGAAGAAGCCATCTTGGTGGCTGGCGTTTGCTGTTGGGTTCATGTTGCTCATGTATTTTGGCTCGTTCTCTCCAGTGCTGTATCGTGTACTGAGGGTGGCACCTGTTGATCGAGTCAGTCTTGCAAGACACTTCTGTACAGTATTGATAAATCACTCACCATGTTTTGACTTATCGCCGTAGACAATGAACATCATCGAGTCTTGCATTTCTGTTCCAGTGCCGATGGCGATCCATGAATGCTTGGAGGCCCCTGCCAGATGTAATGCAAGGCTGCCATTGGTCGAAGCGCTCATCGAGAAGACTAGGTCTGGCTGTCCAGCAGAGCCATGTGTAAAGACTGGCATTGACACATTTTGAGTTGTGTCGCGTGACAGATTGCTTGCCCAAGCCCTAATCACGCATTGGAGTAGTGTGAAGATCAGGTACTCTGTTATGGTAGATCAACCGGTTAGTCAGGTACAATCTGTGATTTTGAGCATGATATGCAACGAACTGTAGAGATTCATTGGTAAGGTCTCGGATGGCGTCTTCTACGATCTGCAATCTCTGGTTTCTAAGAAGGTACGGGCTCTATACGCCCTTTTTATTCCTCATGTCCGGGAATACCGGGGGATCCGGGCTGGAGCTTGACGCGTCATGTTGTACGTTGCGAGTCAAAACAACGTAGACGAAAAAAAAGTATGTCGGCTGCTCGTATACCGACTGTCCGTATGGATGTCAGTGACATCCGCTGACCATATTCTGGGCGCTGATTGGTCACGTTGCTGTTTAGTGTTTGGCCTCCTCCTGTCAACAAAACCCAACTCGAAGCACAACGACAACCCTTGTGCCTCAATCCAGTATCAGAAGCAGTTTCTTGTTTCGGAACAGGCTGCCGCAGGATGTCGCGACAAGTTGCTGCAGGAAGCAGCACGCTTGTTTACCTATCGGAAGCTTCTGATTGGCTGTATGGAGGTAACGACCTCTCATCCTTGCTTATGCTTGTGTCCACCACTGATACAGCAATCCGAGAATTAGCTTCGTGAATTTACGATGGTGGGTGAGTAGCAAGTTCACCGGGTGGTATTTTATAGCGCTGGATTTGAATCGGACATGTCAACGAACTACAAGGAGTTGATCAAGCGACCAGTAACGCAGGTTCACAGACCTCTAAAACCAGGAAAGATTTGAGCATCCGTTGTGGGATATCCTTTGACACGGTAGGTTTTGTCTTTGAGTCTGTCTGTCGTGCCGTATCCAGGTAGCGACATGCTTATCGACCTTAATTTCGAGTGGACACTCGAAGATGTGCTTGACGCCGTGCCGTTCGGGCACAAGAGGCGTTTCTTATAGGGCACAAGCATCTGCAGATAAGTGAGTGGGTGAATGAGCCAGAAGCATAAAGAAGGCTTGAGTTCACCTTCTCAGACGACCTGGTTTTACCTCCTCCTCAATCATCCATCCACTCTTGCCTTGCCATATACATCCTTTCAGGCTTCACCTCCAAAAATTCCTCTCCTGGAGGCTTTACTAGTTAAGCCTGTCCATATCACACACTTTCTATTCTCCCTCTGCCTCATCATCCCTCCAACATGTCATCCCCCACCAAGCCCGAGAAACACATCACCAACAACGACCTCATGCGCAACTTCATAATCGGCTTCAGCGACGGCCTAACCGTGCCCTTCGCCCTAACCTCCGGCCTATCTTCCCTCGGCTCCTCACGCCTCGTCGTCCTCGCCGGCCTCGCAGAACTCTTCTCCGGCGCCATCAGCATGGGTCTATCTTCCTTCCTCGCCGCCAGCACAGACGCAGCACAATACGCCGTAGAAATGGCGCGCGAGGAAAAGGAGATTGTAGAATGTCCGGCAGAAGAAGAACAGGAGATTTATGATATCTTTGCCGAGTATGGGGTGCACAAGGAACATGCAGTCATGGTTGTTGAGAGGCTAAAGGGGGATCCTGAGATGTGGGTCAAGGTAAAGGAAAACCATGCTTGCAGAAGATTCAAATCTGTGGTGTGCGTGCTTATACTGATATCTTTCTGGTGACTAGTTTATGATGGACTTTGAACTCAAACTTACAAAGCCCAATCGTGCTGGAGCTTGGATTGAAGGATTGGTGATGGGATTGTCATATCTACTAGGTAGGATAACCCCCTGCCTCACCTCACTATCCCATGTCATCACTAACACAACAGTCATAGGTGGCATCTTACCAATGATCCCCTACTTCGCCTTCAAGAACACGAACCATGCACTCTTCACCTCCATCGGCATCACTGTTGTTATCTTGATCATATTCGGCTACAGCAAATCTGCAATTGTGGGAAACCCCAAGAAAGATTCTTTTCTCAGTGCTTGTTACACCTTGATTGTAGGGGTTACTGCAGCAGGGACCAGTTATGGGATTGTGAGGGGGTTGGATTCTGCTAATCCTGTTAGGGCGTAGCTGTTGGTGATAGTGAGGCAGATATGGGCACGGTGTAATGTCATTAGATGCGTTTGTGACTATGTTAGCTCATGATCATTTGTTGGAATATGATCGTGCATTGGGATTAGCCATTACTTGCAAGAATACTGGATATCACTACGCTATGGAAAGAAAACGTAAAACAGAAATGCTGCGCGTGTGCTGGCACCTCGAGGACACACCCTCTTCCATCTCTACCCCTACGCCATCCTCGATCGACAAACCTGGCCTTCCTTCTCTGCCTACGCAGCAATCATAGTAGCAGCCTTACTCATAAAATAATCCTTGCCCTTCACCATCGCAACCATAAAGCTAAACGGCACAAAACTTCCAACCTGTCCCGTTCCAGTCTTACTCCCAATAGGTACAAAAACCATCAACTTGTCGCTAGCATCATACGTCTTGAGCGATCCAGATTTGGTGACTGCGTTTTTGATATTGTTGGCAACAACAGGGATTTGATCGTTGACTTTGAGGTAGTAGCGTTGTTTGTAGTGTGTTGCGTCGCCCAGAGCGTAGACAGTGTTGTCGGAAATGGAGGAGACGCGCATGTTCCTGTCGACTTTGATCCAGCCTTCTGCGTCGAGGGAAGAGGGGGGCATGAAGGAGGTGTTAGGGAGGTTTCCTGCTGCGGAGATGACGAGAGCTGCTTCGAGGGTTTTGCCATTGTCGAGGTGAACAGTTGATCTTCCATTTTCGTGCGTTGTTTCTTTGACACGAGCGGAAAGCACAATCTTCACTCCCAAATTCTCCAGACTCGTGTGTGCGGATTTGGCAGCAGAAGCTTTGAGGTTAGGAAGAACTTGGGCGTGCGAAGAGATGAGAGTGACTTTGGTCTTGGGGTAAGCTTGCGCGATCTCGCCAGCACTTTCCACTCCAACTGGTCCAGCACCAACGATAATGATACTGTCAGCAGCAGCGACTCTCTTCTGCGCTTCCTCGACTTTCTTGCCAATATCCGCTCCAGTGGTTTTGAAAGGAATGGCTTCTTGGCCGACAGTCCCCGGCGTTGTCGAACCCGACGCAACGACCAGATAATCGTAAGAAACCTCTTTTCCACTTTCCAGTTTCACCACTTTTGCAGTTGTATCGACTTCTTTGGCGTAATCCTGCACAAAAGTAAATCTGGAAGCGGGATATTGCTTGAATTTGTCCATGATGGGGATTAGGTATTGGTCGACTCTGGCTTGTTTTGGCTTTGCGATGATGCGCGGCGCGGCCATGTTGTAGTAGAAGACATCGGATGGGTCGATGAGTGTAACCTTGCAATTAGGAACCTGTTTGAGGACTTGATGTGCGACTTTTGTTCCAGCGTACGAGCCGCCGATGATCACAACCTGCGACATGATGGATGATGTTGATATTTGAAGTTCCGTTGGGTTAAGAGGATTCACGCGCTGCTGTGGATTTCACGTCGGGGCCAAGGACGAGTGAGAACACCAAGGAGACTCGCTGAGTGTTAGAAGCAAACGCCGGGTTGTGATATGGAGAATGTGAAGATCTGCTGGGAAACACCTATCTATTTATCTCGTGCAACGTCCAAGAAAAAAAGTCCGTAGGGTGAAACTCTTTCTGTGTCGCGCGCGACAACAATCATTCGGGATAAGGATTTTGGCGCCCCGTTGACTGCCCGATCGTCTGGTTCCGGATCGGCTTGAACTCCTTTCCGCACACACACTTGACATACTTACAGTCAGCTAGCAAGGCAAAGCGCCGCGATTAGCGAATACACGTTGCCAATTCACATTAGGGCTACAAAAGTATGAGCAGGAAAGGAGATCACAAGGAGGGATGATTTGAAAGACTGTGCTGTGTTTCGCTGGTGGTCAGGCCGAGTCGGCGCGACGGGGATGCCGAGAATTGGTAATCATCATAGACGCCCGTTGCTCGACGACCTCTTTCTCTTCCAACAACATAATCTGGCGACTCGAGTCACCCACATTTGCAAAGCTTCGATGGCAGAGTCAATGAACACAATTGAATTGACAAGGATACTTTGAGTTCATAAGCCGCCTCTCCAAGTCTGGCGTCGCACACTTCCATGTAGTCATCCCACACACCTCCACCTCTCAAGCATACGTCGCGAAAAACTTAACACTCTTGCCTTGTCTCTCATAAACCGGCGAATTCTTCCCCTGCAACCCCCTCCAAGAATACTGTCCCTGCCCCTGTTGAAAAAGTCTGAAGTTTCCTGCACACGCTTCCTCCTTCGTATCAAACTCCAAATGACACCAAGGCGAATAATCCGCCCCTTGAAGTCTGAATCCCAGAAGCTCGCCTTGAGAAACAGTGGCATTGATAAGAGGTACGGTGACGGTGTCGAAGGTGTAGGAGGTTTGATTGGCGAAACAGGAGCTAGAGCCAAGGGGTGTCCATTTATACTCGGGTGTGAAGAGGTCGTTGATGGAAGAAAGTTTGAAAACGGTGAGGGAGAGAGGTACGGTTTGGACTCCTCTCGCCACATTAACCGATACACTTTTGATCGTGCCACTTTTGGAAGCTGTCCAGGTTTGATACAGTATGAAACTGTCGGAATCGCAGACGGGGGAGTATACCGCGAGGGCAGGCGTGGCATCTCCCGCTTTAGTCGCATTTCCTGCTGCAACACTTCCATTCCCTTTCGTAAACTCCACAGGAAAAGTCGCAGTACTCGAACAATCGAGATTCTTCGCACTGCCATCGGTATTGAAAATCAAAGGCTGGAAGGTATGCCCACTAAACCCCGTCCTCGGACCTCCTGGGACGGTAGTCGAATGCCAGATATTAGTAACATTTCCAGTCGTAGGGTTAGTCAAAGGCAAAACTCCCTCAAGCTGTCCATTACACGAATACCCTTCCAAGATCTGACGTGTCCAGGGTCCTTGTATCGAGTTGGAGCGATAAAGTAATGCAATACTTCCATTACAATACCCACAAGTATTGGAAGCAGCAACATAGTAAGTACTTCCAACCTTGAAGATCTCTGGACTTTCAGCTTCATTGTCGATAAGGTCGTTTGCAGAAGACACAACTGGCCAACTTTGTCTCGTAGTATTCATAAAGTCCGCAGTCAACTTGCTCACATGCATATTCTGGAAAATCGGAGGCCAAACATCACCAGCCCTAGGATCTCTAAAGTTAAGAGCCGAGAAAACGATAAAGCCCTCTCCATTTATGACCTCCACCGAGAAATCCGCAGGATTGAGATTATCAAAAGCGGGATCAATAAGTGCTCTGTGTGCTTCAAACACAAAAGGACCAGTCGGCGCCTTCGAAGTCGCAACAGCATATCCAGGAGCCCCAGCATTAGCCCACAAGACATAAGTCTTGGTGTTTGCGTTAAACACAATATGAGGACGACCACAACCTCCAGAACCAGCGCAAGGGTTATTCTTGCCAGAAGGGTCGAAGAGGAAGCCTTCGTATTGCCAGCTCACGAGATCCACACTCGAGTAGCTTTTGATGCCATACGCAACTCCAGTCTCCGAAAACGAGTTCCCGTAGAGATAGTATTTGCCGTTGAAATTGTTGATTTTGGCTCCGTAGGCATCGATTTGTCTGCCATCGGTGTCGAAAAGAAAGCGTCTGTTGTTGTCGAAAGTAACGGAGGCTGGAACCGCTTTGGTAGTCGCGGCGGCACTGCAGATAGAGGCCAAGGCAGTCAAGCTTGACACCAAAGATGTGAGTTTCATGGTTTGTTGATGGGACCAGAGAGATGGGTGGAAGGGGGGG